GAAAATTTAATAAAAAGTCCATTCATCGAAAAATCGAAAAATTGAAAAATCGTAAAACTGGAATATCGGAAAATTGAGAACAGGAAAATTAAAAAATCGAGAAATTGCATTGAAAAACTGTAAAATAGAAAAATCGAAAAACCAAAAATTCGAAAAATCGAGAAATCGAAAAGTCGAAAATGTTAAACACCAGAAATTGAAAAATCGAAAAATTTTTAAAACATAAATTGAAAATCGAAAAATGGAAAAATCGTAAAACTGAAATATCGGAAAATTGAGAAACAGGAAAATTAAAAACTCAAAAAATTAAAACATTTTAAAATTCAGATATTAAGTTGAAACACTGAAAAATAGAAAAGACGAAAAATGGAGAAGTAGAGAAATCGAGAAATGGGAAATTCAACAAAAATCTGAAAAATCGAAAAAGTCGAAAAATCAAAAAATCGGTTAATCTAGAAAACGAAAAATCGAAAAGTTGAAAAAAAAACTGAAAAACCGTAAAACTAAAATATGTATCGGAAAATTGAAAAACCGAAGAATTAATTTGAAACATCGAAAAAGTGAATTGGAAAACTGATAAAATCTAAAAATCGAGAAATGGAGAAATTGAGAAATGGGAAATTAAAAAAATTCTAAAAATAGAGAAATCGAAAATTTAATAAAAAGTCGATTAATCGAAAAATCGAAAAATTGAAAAATTGTAAAACGGGAATATCGGAAAATTGAGAAACAGGAAAATTAAAAAATCGAGAAATTGCATTGAAAAACTGAAAAATAGAAAAATCGAAAAATCAAAAATTCGAAAAATCGAGAAATCGAAAAGTCGAAAATTTTTAAACACCACAAATTGAAGAATCGAAAAATTTTTTAAACAGATAAACTGAAAAATGGAAGAAGCAGAAAATGCAAAAGTCAAGAGATTTAACAGAGAAATTACAGAGTAAAAGAAAAAAAAGATCGAGAAAAAATTCAACAAAAATTTGAAAAATCGAGAAGTCGAAAAATCATAATCGATTAATCGAAAAATTGAAAAGTTGTAAACGCAAAAAATTGAAAAATTGAAAAATTTTGAAACTGAAGAATTGAAGAATTGAAAAACTGAAAAATCCAGCAATTAAACTTAAATAGATTAATCGGAACTCGAGAAATAGAAAAATCAATAAGTTGGAAACGCCAAAAATTGAAAAATCAAAAATCTGAAAATTGAAAAATTAAGTAATCGAAAAACTGAAAAATCGTAAAATTTAGAAACAAAAAAATTATAAAACCGACAAATTGAATTTAAAAACTTAAAAATCGAAAAATCGAAAAATAGACAAATGAAAAAAATCTAAAAATCCGAAATTTCAAGGATCTAAAATTTGAGAAAACAAAAAATTGACAAATAAAAATTGAAATATTGAAAATTTGAATCGAATAGTTGAAGAATCGAGAATTCGAAAAGTCGAAAAATCAACAAAGTCGAGTAACCGAGAACTCGGGAAATCGAAAAGCCGAAAATTTAAGAACGCCAAAAATTGAAAAATCGTAAAACTGAAATATCTGAAAATTGAGAAATAGAAAAATGAAAAGTCGAGAAATCGAATTAAAAAGCTGAAAAATGGAAAAGGCAAAAAATGGAGAAGTCAAAAGATCGAGAAATAAGAAATTCAACAAAAATTTGAAAAATCGAAAAGTGTAAAAATCTAAAAATCAGAAATTTAAAAGATCGAAAAATTGAGAAAACAAAATTCTAACAAATGAAAAATTGAAAAATTGAAAATTTGAATCAAATCACTGAAGACTCGAGAAATCGAAGAGTCGAAAAATAAAAAAACGATTAATCGAGAACTCGGAAAATCGAAAAACCGAAAATTTAAAAACGCCAAAAATTGAAAACTTTAAAAATGATAAAACTGAAATATCGGGAAATTGAAAAACTGAAAAATAAAAAAATCGAGAAATTGAATTGAAAAACTGAAAAATAGAAAAATCGAGAAATCGACAAGTGAAAAAATCTAAAGTCGGAAATGTAAAAAAGCGAAAAATTGAGAAAACAAAAACCTGACAAATGAAAAATTGAACATTTTAAAAATCAAACAGGAAAATATGATAAATCGAAAAATAGGAAATTCAAAAAACTCAGAAATCGATAAACCGAAAATTTAAGAACGTCAAAAATTGAAAAATTTTAAAATCGTAAAACTGAAATATCCGAAAATTGAGAAACAGAAAAATTAGAAAACCAAAAAATCAAAAATTTTAAAAATACTAAAGGCGAAAAATAAGAAGTCGAGAAATCGAGAAATGGGAAATTCAACAAAAATTAGAAAAATCGAAAAGTCGAAAACTCAATATCGATTAATCGATAAATCGAAAAATCGAAAAGTCAAAAAGTCGAAGAATCGAAAATTCAAAAATCGATGAATCGGGAATTCCAGAAGTCTGAAATCAAAGATTTAAAAATTGAAAAATTAAATAGGTACTTAATCGAAATACTGAAAAATCGTAAAACTGAAATACCGGAAAATTGAAATATCAAAATTAAAAAATCGGGAAATTGAATTTAAAAACTGAAAATAGAAAAGCCGAGAAATTGACAAGTGATAAAATTTAAAAATCAGAAATTTAAAAGATCTAAAAATTGAGAAAACAAAAATCTGACTAATGAAAAATTGAAAAATCGATTAATCGAGCACTCGGGAAATCGAAAACCGAAAATTTATGAACGCCAAAAATTGAAAAATCTTAAAATCATCAAGCTGAAGTATCAAAAAATTGAGAAACAGAAAAGTTAAAAAATAAAAAAATCAAAAATTTGAAAAATCGAGAAATTGAATTGAAATACTGAAAAATGCCAAAGGCGAAAAATAGAGAAGGTCGAGTAATAGAGAAATGCGAAATTCAACAAAAATTTGAAAAATCGAAGAGTCGAAAAATCAAAATCGATTAATCGAGAAATCAAAAAACTGAAAACTTGTAAACACCAAAAGTTGAAATATTGAAGAACGGAAAAAGTGAAAAATCGTAAAACTGAAAATATCTATCGGAAAATGGAGAAACCGAAAAATTAAAGCATCTAAAAATCAAACATTTGAAAAATCCAGCAATTAAACTGAAAAACTAAAAAATTGAAAAATCGAAAATACGAGAACTCGAGACTTGAGAAATTAAAAAAACTGAAAAATCCAGAAGTCAAAAAGTCCAAGAATCGAGAACTCGAGAAATCGAAAAATTCATAAGTTGGAAACGCCAAAAATTGAAAAATCTAAAATTTGAAAATTGAAAAATTGAGGAATCGCATAGCTGAAGAACTGGGAATCCGAAAAATCGAAAAATCAAAAAATCGATTAATCCTGAAATCGGGAAATCGAAAAACCAAATATTTAAGAACTCCATAAATTGAAAAATTTAAACATCGTAAAACTGAAATATCTGAAAATTAGAAACAAAAATTAAAAAATCAAAAAATCAAAAAACTGAAAAATGGAAGAGACGAAAAACAGAGAAGTCAAGAGATCGAAAAATGGGACATTCAACAAAAATTTTAAAAATCGAAAAGTAGATTAATCGAGAAATCCAGAAACCAAAAACTGAAAATTCTAAAAATTTATAAACTGAACAAATTGAAGAAACGAAAAATTGAAAATATCTATCGGAAAATTGAGAAACCGAAAAATTTAAAAATTTAAAAATCAAACAATTGAAAATCGAGCAAGTGAACTGAAAAACTGAGAAATCGAAACATCGGAAAAACGAGAAATCAAGACTTGAGAAATTCAAAAAACTGAAAAATCGAGAAATCAAGAAATCGAAAAGGCGAAAAATCAAAAATTTGAAAATTGAAAAATCCTAAAAATTGAGAGACCAAAAAATTTAAAAGTCGAGCAATTGGATTGAAAAACTGAAAAACAGAAAAATCGAAAAGTCGAAAAATCAAAAAATCGATTAATCGAGAACTCGGGAAATCTAAAAACCGAAAATTTAAAAACGCCAAAAATTGAGAAACCGAAAAATTAAAAATAAAGAATTCGAAAATTTGAAAAATCGGGAAATTCAACGATTGAAAAATTGAAAAATCATAAAACCGAAATATCGAAAAATTAGGTAGGTAATCGAAAATTGAGAAATCGAAAAATTGTTATAACATTTTGATTTTTAAACATTCGACGGGGATTCGTAAACCACTATGATGCTTATTAACATTTAAATAACATTCATTCGACAAAATTATGATATGACATGATTAATTACGGGAAGGGGGGGGGGGGGTGAACGAAGAATAAATGGATAAATCTTGATTAACGATTTACGATGCTTCCAATAACCTTAAAACGTTTACAAGATTTCAAAACATTCGACGACTTTGTAATTTCATTATCTGTATAATAAAAATCGACACAGACGGTGGACAGACACATTTTCGTACTTCAGGGGTCATGAAACGTCGAGAAAACATGAAAGTAGCCAGTTGCTTGTTAACTTACGCTCGGGAAGTAAAAAAGGTAGAAATTTTTTCATAATTTGTGAGGATTTTTAGACGACTTCGAAATTAGCCCCTTCACTGTATCACCGAAACTAGCGAAATAAAATAAGTAACCGTAGAACTCTATATCAGCCTAAAATATGTCGTCCAATCTTTTTGCGTTGACAAGTGAGCGACGCCGGGTCGCAGTGACACAAAAACGTCTTCGCTCCTCCACGCTAAGTATTCCGAAATTTTAATTAATGAAGCCGGCGCGTCGTGAACCTTTCTAGATTATAAATCAGAGAGGTACTGGAGGGATTAGGACAGGGCCCGGGGCGCCGATCCCATAAATTGCGGCCGATTCCCACACAATTCCAGCGTCAGAACAGTCGGAACTGTCCCTGGTGCTGCGGCTGTAACACGTTACGAAATGCCCGTGCTAAATTAAAGACCAACATTTACTCAACGGTCCGTGCGAAACGATATTATTTTTATTCGAATGAGAGATTTACGAGCACTCGTAATTCTGTACATCTTACGTGCCTCGTTCCAGATATTCCGGACGCTCAAAGTGAACTACTCGAGGCTGGAGGACGTCGCCGTCAAGAACGTCTTGTGAGTGTCACAATGCGAAAATTCGCCTGACATCACGACAAGTCGCTTCGCATTTTTCTTGTTGCAGGTATTTCAGGTCAGGCGCCGAGGTTACCTTCCATTTGTTCGCGGCGAAGAAGGATGAAAAGCGCATGAGGGCTATTTTGAGCAAATGGGCTGATCGAGGTTACATCGCGAACTTAACGGTTGCTGACAAGGAATTTGTCTTCAGGCCGCTGCTAGATTTGCAGGTTAGTGCTGGATTATCGTGGGGCTGGCGGTGGAAACTTAAATTACATTCGAGGGGGAGTGGGAGTGGGAGGTTAAAATCGTTTTTCGTTCTTTTTGTTCTCTTTGTGATGTTGAATTTAATTACGGCGATATTCGACATATGCAAATAAAAATTTTATGAAAATGGGAACAAACGAGGGGGGTTTTATGAGCGCTGGATGTTTACTTAGGTATTACTGATAAAACGGCAATTATTTTTACCGGAACGACACGTTTCAGAGTGTGTCAATCAATCAAATTGGAACCATCAGGCAAAGGGATGAATTCATTTTATCCTGCGTGGCCCGGGGACTCCCGACCATGTCTTTCCGCTGGTTCAAGGACGGGGTATTCGTCAACGTCACAGAGTTCACCAGGTAAAAACACTCTCTTAGGGGGACTCGCTGGAGGAGGTACAACAATGTTTTCCTTTTTTGTATGATAAATTGATATTGATATATAAACCGTTCAGGGTGTTTTTAGGCATGAAATTTTTTCTTCACGTTGGATAAACTGATTCATTGACAAAACGGTTTGTCTGTCAGACGTTTTTGGTAATATAAATATTGCAGGGGCGGCTTGTTCTATGAGTCATTATTTCCGACCGATATTTTTCTGGACAATATTTTTTTTCTAACAAGTATTTTAAATATGATGTCGTTTAATATGTGGGCTGTCCGTAATACAACTTTTCAAATTTTTCAATAAATTCATTTTTCGATTACCAACTTTTTGATTTTTCAACTTTCGGATTTTTTCCTTTTTCGTTTTTTCAGTGTTTTGAATTTTCCGTTCTTCGATTTTTAATTTTTTGAGTTTCCAGTTTAATTTTTTGATTTTTAAGTTTTTCGTTACTTCACCTTGAGATTTGCACTTTCTAGATTCCACAGTTTTTCTATTTTTGAGTTTCTCGGTTCTTTAATTTCTCGTGTTGCAATTTTGCTTTTTTAATTTTTCGAATTTTCAGTTTTTCGATTTTTATTTTATCGTTTCGGCAGTTTTTTGATTTGCAATTTTTTAGTTTCCAGTTCAAAATTTTGAATTTTTAGATTTTTAATATTTCGTTGCTTGACCTTTTAGATTGGTGCTTTCTATTAAGTACTTATTTTTAGATTTCTCAATTTTTCGATATTTTTTTTTCAGTAAGATTTCCAATTTTTTGATTTTTATTTTGAATATTTCCGATTTTCGAAAAAAATAAGTAACAGGAAAAAAATTCCTGTTTTACAATTTTTCAATATTGCAGTTTGAATAAACTTGTTCTTTTTGTTCAAAATTTAAAAACACAGAAACGAGAAATTTAAACACTGAAAAATTAAAAAATCGAAAAATCAAAAATTTTAGAAATCGAAAAATTGAAAAATCGAAAAATCTAAAAACGAGAATTTGCAAAACTTCGAAAAATTCCCAAAATCGAAATTTTGAAAAATTGACAAGACGGAAACTCAAAAATATAAAAAATCAAAAAACTGAAAAATTTTAAAAATTGAAAAACCAAGATGTCGATAAATCGAAAACTCAAAAAATCGAAAAATCGTCTTAAAAAATTTAAAAATCGAGAAATTGAAACATCAAAAAAATCGTTAAAAAAATGAAAAAACAAAAAAAGTAAAATCTAAAAGTCGAAATTCTGACAAATTCTAAAAGTGAAATGTTGAAAAATTGGGAAATATGTAGAAAAATTGATAAATTGCAAACATCGAAAAAATGGAAAAATGAAAAATCAAAAAGCTAAAAAGTCGAAAAATCGAAAACCAAAAAAGCGAGATTCTGAAAAATTGAAATATCGAAAAACTGAAGAATTGACACATTGACGAATCGAAAAATTGAAAAAACGTAAAACTGAAATATCGGCATATTGAGAAACCGAAAATTTAAAAATCGAAATTTTGAAAAATCGAGAAATTGAATTGGAAATCTGAAAAATCGAAAAATCTAGATGTGGAGAAATCGAAACATTGAAAATACAAGAAATCGAAAAATGGAAAATTCAAACGATTGAAAAATCGAAAAATCAAAAAATAGAAAAGTCGAAAATTTAAAAAATTAAAATGTCGAGAAATTGAACTGAAAAAGTGGAAAATGGAAAATGCGAAAAATGAAGAAGTCGAGAAACCAAGAAATGAGAAATTCAACAAAAATTTGAAAAATAGAAAAGTCGAAAAAGCAAAAAATCGATTAATCGAGAAACCGACAATCGAAAAGTTAGAAAAACCAAAAATTGAAAAACCGAAAATTTAAGAATTGAAAAATTGAAGAATCGAAAAACTGAAAAATCCGAAAATTGAGATACCAAAAAATTAAAGAAACAAGAAATCAAACATTTGAAAAATCGAGAAATCGACAAGTGAAAAAAATCTAAAAATCTAAAAGATCGTAAAATTAAGAAAATAAAAACCTTCAAAATGAAAAATTGAAAAATAGAAAAAATAAAAAGTCGAGAAATCGAGAAACGAAAAATTCAAGAATGGCAGAAAATTAAAAAATCGAAAAATTTTGAAAATTGAAAAATTGAAAAACCGAAAAATCGTTAAACTGAAATATCGGAAAACTCAGTAGCCCAAAAATCAAAAAATCGAAATTTTTAAAAATCGAGAAATTGAATTGGAAAACTGAAAAATCGGAAAATTTAGAAATGGACAAATCGAAACATTGAAAATACAAGAAATCGAGAAATGGAAAATACAAACGATTGAAAAATCGAAAAGTCAAAGAATAGAAAAGTCGAAAAGTCGAAAATTTAAGAAATTGAAGAATCGAAAAATCGAAAAATCGTAAACCTGAAATATCTTCAAATTGAGAAACCGAAAAATAAAAAATTTGAAATCTCGAGAAATTGAACTGAAGAAGTGGAAAATGAAAAATGCGAAAAATGGAGAAGTCGAGAAACCAAGAAATGAGAAATTCGACAAAAATTTGAAAAATAGAAAAGTCAAAAAAGCAAAAAATCGATTAAGCGAGAAACCAACAAATCAACAAATCGAAAAGTTAGCAAAAGCCAAAAACTGAAAAATCGAAAATTTAAGAATTGAAAAATTGAAGAATCGAAAAACTGAAAAATCGGAAAATTGAGATACCAAAAAATTAAAAAATCGAGAAATCAAACATTTGAAAAATAGAGAAATTGAATTGAAAAACTGAAATATAGAAAAATCGAGAAATCGACAAGTGAAAAAAATCTAAAAATCTAAAAGATTGTAAAATTAAGAAAATAAAAAGCTGCAAAATGAAAAATTGAAAAATTGAAAAAATAAAAAGTCGAGAAACCGAGAAACGAAAAATTCAAGAAAGGCAGAAAATTAAAAAATCGAAAAATTTTGAAAATTGAAAAATTAAAAAACCGAAAAATCGTTAAACTGAAATATCGGAAAACTCAGTAGCCGAATAATCAAAAAATCGAAATTTTGAAAAATCGAGAAATTGAATTGGAAAACTGAAAAATCGGAAAATTTAGAAATGGACAAATCGAAACATTGAAAATACAAGAAATCGAGAAATGGAAAATACAAACGATTGAAAAATCGAAAAGTCAAAGAATAGAAAAGTCGAAAAGTCGAAAATTTAAGAAATTGAAGAATCGAAAAATCGAAAAATCGTAAACCTGAAATATCTTCAAATTGAGAAACCGAAAAATAAAAAATTTGAAATCTCGAGAAATTGAACTGAAGAAGTGGAAAATGAAAAATGCGAAAAATGCAGAAGTCGAGAAATCAAGAAATGAGAAATTCGACAAAAATTTGAAAAATAGAAAAGTCGAAAAAGCAAAAATTCGATTAATCGAGAAACCGACAAATCGACAAATCGAAAAGTTAGAAAAAGCCAAAAATTGAAAAATCGAAAATTTAAGAATTGAAAAATTAAAGAATTGAAAAACTGAAAAATCGGAAAATTGAGACACCAAAAAATTAAAGAAACAAGAAATCAAACATTTGAAAAATCGAGAAATTGAATTGAAACACAAGTGAAAAAAATCTAAAAATCTAAAAGATCGAAAAATTAAGAAAATAAAAAGCTGAAAAATGAAAAATTGAAAAATTGAAGAATTGAATAACCGAAAAATCGTTAAACTGAAATATCGGAAAACTGAGTAGCCAAAAAATTAAAAAATCGAGAAATCAAACATTCGAAAAATAGAGAAATTGAATTGAAAAACGGACATATAGAAAAATTGTGAAATCGAGAAGAATTCGAAACATCGAAACTACGAGAAATCAGGAAATGGGAAAATCGAAAATTCGAAGAATCGAAAAAAAAACGATTAACCGAGAACTCGAAAAATCGAAAAACCGAAAATTTTAAAACGCCAGAAAATAAACAATTTAAAAATCGTAAAACCGAAATATTGGAAAACAGAGAAACCGAAATATTAAAAAATCAAGAAATCAAAAGCGTTTCGAATTTTCCTTTCCTCGATTTTTCATTTTTCCTTTCTCCAATATTTTGATTTGCGATTTTTTGAGTTAGCAAAATGAAAGCTAAATTAAAATTCTAAATCTCGATTAATTGAAATGAGAAAAAATTAAAATATCTACAAATTGAAAAATTGAGGAAGTGCAAAATTGAAATATCGAAAAATTGCAAATCAAAAATCTGGGAGACCGAAAAATTACAAAATAAAAAAATTAAAAATTCCAAAACCTGTAAAACTAAAATATTAAGGATTGAAAACTAGAAAACCAAAAATCGCAAAACTGTAAAGTCGAAAAATTAAAGAAACATAAATTCACAAATGGAAAATTTCAAAAACTGAATAAACGATCTACAAATTGACAAATCGAACTAACTGAGCGAGGAAAGTTCTGCCTAATAGTGTAGACCTTTTTTTGCCAAATCCTTCACATTTTTTGGATCCCTGAGATCGTGTAGAGCCTTTATAGCTCTAATATCTTATGTCCACTAAAAAATTTAGATAAGTTAGATCCTCTAGATTCTTTAATCTTCTGACAGACTTTTTAGATTTTTTAAACCTTGCACATCATTTAAATTTTTGAGATCCTTAACATTTTTCAGATCCCTGAAATCCTATTAGGATCCTGTTGTGCCTTTAGATTCTTTAGTCATTTTAGATCCAAATATTTTACACACTCAACGTAAATTTACACTGAAAAGATTTACAATTATTTATAACAAAGATCCTTTAGGTTCTTTATTTCGTTATAGATCCTCTATATCATCTCAAGTCTTTGGCTAATCTAGATCTTCAAATTTCCTGGATAATGCAGAATAATGTAATCCTCTAGAACCTCTTAATTTTTTAAACATTTTAAATACCTTATATCCTTCAGATCCTTCAAATTCTTTAGATCCGTGAGGTCTTTTATATCTTCCAAATTCTTGAAACCCGTCACCATTACTTAAATCCTTAAGATCTTGTAGAGCCTTCATAACCCGTTGTAGTCTTTTGGATTTTTCTAGATATGCTATGTTCCATAAAAACCTTAGATAATCTAAACACTCTAAATCGTCTAAATTCTTCAAATTTTTACTAGACTTTTTAGATCTTATTAGTATCCTGTATTGCCTTTAAAGGCTTTAGATTTTTTACGTTGTTTAAATCCTTCTAGATCTTCTATGTCATCCGAAAACTTTGGCTAATCTAGATCCTCAAATTTCCTGGATAATGCAGGATGATATAATCCTCTAAAGCCTTTTAATTTTTTTAATATTTTAGATGCTTTAAATCCTAAAATCGAAAAATTGTAAACTAAAAAATTGAAAAAGTCATATGTTGATAGATCAAAATTTTGAAAAACTTAAAACCGAAAACACAAAAGCTTGCACATCGAAACATTGTACAATTAAAAAATTTCAAAATAAAAATCGAAAAATTGAGAAATCGTAAAACGAAAAAACTGTGTAATTTTTAAAAATTCGAAAATGGGTGCTATTAAAAAATCCTCAGTCAACACGATGTAAATAAACATTCGAAGACACCGATGTGCTCAATTGAATGTTGAAAAACGACAACATCGTAAAAGTGAAAAATCAAAAATAAAAAAAAATTAATCAATTGCCTCATCAGCTTCTCAACTCATGAGCCGCCCCTGAAATATTGTTATACAATTTTAATTTTTTCCCCAAAAATCTGGATATCTAGGGTAAGAACTTTGCACGGATTTATAAACCACAAGTACAGATGTATGTTATTCGGTAAAATTGATTCAGCAAAATGTTGTGATGACGTCATAAATTTTTGGGTGGGGATAAACTCCTTGTTTTGATTAACCTTTTGCCATGCTTACGACAACCTTAAAACGTTTTCAAGAATTCAGAGCATATATTAACTTAAATTTAATTCAAATATTTCAAGAGAACGATAGAGTCATACATTTTAGAAAGAATTACTGGCTAGTGTGACACACCCCCATACACTGCGAGAACTACGACCCGTGTATCCACTAATAATTATTTCAGCCACAAGTGGAGCCGCCTCATCAATGATCCACACATCAGCGATCAATACACGGCGCTCTTGGGAATCGCGAGATCGGATATTCTCGACGGCGGCACCTTTACTTGCCAGGTGGAAGACTTCGGAGTGCAGCAATGCCTTTCGCGGCGGGTTTTCATCAAAGCGCCGCCCGTTATTAAAGTCGAGCCCATGAGTCTCACCGTGCGAAAAGTAATGCATCATTAATTCCACAAAGGTCTTTGACTTAAACACTGCCTGTAGGGGGACAACGTCACCATTAAGTGTATCAGCATGGGCGACAGCACCAACAAGTACACTTACAGCTGGACCAAAAACAAGGAGCTGATTCCGGTGCGGACCGAGTCGGAGAAGTACGACGTGCTGTATCCTGGAGGGAGTATTCTACAAGTGTTTAAAATAGATGTTGGTTGTAGTTGTTAGGGTGGAGTCTCACTAGCGGATAGTTTCGGTTTCTGGTATTAAGTGCGAGTTGTGTTTGATAAAAGCATTGATTTTAAGTCTTCCCGCGTGACTCGTGGAGGCGAGAAGAGAACACAGCTCGAGTGTGAGCAACTGATGAAGAGATTAGCATTGGTGCTGAAAACCAATTATTCTGATAACAACTATCTCGTGATTGGTGCCAACGTTGTCATCTCCATTACTATTATTAATGTGGTAATGATCTAATAGTTACTGGTTAATTATCACGGTTGACAGGTCTACTATGTCGGCCTAGGACGAAGTTTAGTCCATTTTAAACGAAAATATTTTTTCCGCTTCTTGATATTTCATTATTTATTTAGTACTAACTAATTTTCTGGTGGAACACCCTGTATATTTTACATGGCCTCTTCTTAAGCTTTCTAAGGATATTTAAGGTTGGACAATCCCCTGCGATGTTTCACAATTGACCAAAAAAAACGCAAAAGAGTTGTTTTTAACATCTGTGTTACAATTTTCTGTATCTCGGGAAAAGTCGATACTTTAATGCAGTGGCAATGCAGTTGAGCTTTATTATACGGAATGTTTATAAAATATTATATTTGTAGGACAGTTATACTACATCATATTGTTCTTCATTCCCGTTTTTTCTTCATTTTCTACACTTGAAGTTGATAATTTCTAAGATTTTTCAATTCTTTTAACAACTCACCAAAATATCGAGAGAAAAATAAAGTAGTCATGCAGTGGGGCTTCTAGACCACTTTGGCCTCAGTTATGAGACCTGGGTTAAACCCCCATGCGGATTCTGAACCACGTCGACCTTGGCTGAAGAGCGGGATCAACTGAGGTCAAAGTGGACTAGAATACACACTACGAATCAGACGAGGTGAACTGACCAAATTGGTCCAGAGTTCGCATGCAACTAAGTAGGTCAAGTCAGGTTAGATCAAGTCAGGTTCGATCAAGTCAAATCAAGTCAGGATAGGACAGCCTCACTATATAACTACTAGCCAATAAAAAAAAAACATTTTTATAAACAACCTTTTTACTAGTAAAACAACGACCTTTAATTGTTTATTAAATTTCAATAAAAACTTGTGTTCCATTAAAAAAGTTGTATGTTGCTCCTCAAAAACCAACACCGGAAAATAATAATTTAAATTTATGTTATCTAGAAAATTGTACAACTTAGTTTTTTTTTATTTTTTGAAACTCACTCTAACAGAATTCATTTAGGCTACATTTTCAGTTACATGTTTCCAAGAATGTGGTGTCCAGTTTAAAGGTTATGCAGCGACGTTCTAATTTTTTTATGCAATATTCTGTATATATTTACAGAAATATAACAACAATAGTTTTTTTGACGTCTAACGGTTTTGGAGATTTCTTTTTGTAGAAAAAGTGGTCATATTTAAAAAAATTAGATTTTCAAATTGCCAATTTTTGTAATATTAATTTTTTGCTTAATTTTTTTTTCTATTTTTGAAAAATTATTTAACCTAGTCTTCCAGAGTGAAAAGTTAATCATTTAAGTTCGATTTTTGAATGGAACATCCTATATATTTGTACACATATAAATAAAAACGCAACCCAAAACAAGACAGCGGGGTCTGAGCCACGTCAACCTTGGTCGAAAAACGGAGTCAACTGAGGTCAAAGTGGCCTAGAAGCCCCACTGCATAAATACTAGACAGTATTTTTTTATTTTTTACAAACATCCTGTATATTAATATTCAACTTTATTAGTACTAAGACTAATTACCCACAAAATATTTACAACACAGACGTCAAAAATAACCCTCTTTGACTTGTAAAAAAAAAAATTTAAAAAAATGGAAAAACTTGGATACGTCTCTTCGAAATTAAATAAAAAATGCTTGTAAGAAGCGTCAATTAAAATCTGGGTTTCAATTAAAAAAAAACTGATTTTTGAAAATAACAATTTAAATTTATGTTGTCTACAAAATTGTATAACATTTAGGGCTAGATATTTCATTTTTTCAGAGGTACTAGGTACTCAACCCTATAGATTTTTACATATATAAATTTTTATGAAAAATGAAGAACAAAAACAAGACTTATCAAAATATCAACAGAAAGACAAAGTAGATATGTAGTGGGGCTTCCAGATCACTTTGACCTCAGTTAACCTGGCTTAGAATTCTCATACGGGTTTTGGGCCATGTCGGCCTTGGCCGAATAACGGAGTCAACTGAGACCAAAGCGGTCAAGATCCTGCTTGAAGGAGTAGTTATATAGTGGGGCTTACAGTCCACTTTGACCTCAGTTGACCCCAGCCTAGAACCTTCATCCGGGTTCTAGGCCACTTTGAGCGTTGTTGACCTAGCCTGTTACCTCCATGCGGGTTCTAAGCCACGTCAGACTTGGTCAAAAAACGGAGTCAACTGAGGTCAAAGTGGCCTAGAAGCCCCACTGCATAACTACTAATCAATATTTTTTTATTTTTTACAAACACCCTGTATATTAATATTCAATTTTATTGGTACTAAGACTAATTATCCACAAAATATTTACAACACAGACGTCAAAAATAACCCTCTTTGACTTGTAAAAAAAATAATAAAAAAAATGGAAAAACTTGGATACGTCTCTTCGAAATTAAATAAAAAATGCTTGTAAGAAGCGTCAATTAAAATCTGGGTTTCAATAAAAAAAAACTAATTTTTGAACCTCAAAAATAAACACTTATATTTCCACTTTATAGTGGAAAATAACAATTTAAATTTATATTGTCTACAAAATTGTACAACATTTAGGGCTAGATATTTCATTTTTTCAGAGGTACTAGGTACTCAACCCTATCGATTTTTACATATATAAATTTTTATGAAAAATGAAGAACAAAAACAAGACTTATCAAAATATCAACAGAAAGACAAACTAGTTACGTAGTGGGGCTTCTAGATCACTTTGACCTCAGTTAACTTGGCCTAGAACCCTCATGCGAATTTTGAACCACGTCGACCTTAACTGAAGAGCGGGGTCAACTGAGGTCAAAGTGTCCTAGAAGCCTCAGTATATAACTACTAGAGTATAACAAAGTGTCAATTTTTCAAGCTACTAGATTGTCATCAATAAATATGAATTTTTCGTCTATTTTATTAAATAACTTTTTAAACATTAATTTTAGAATATTGGTTAGTTTTGATTTTTTAAAGAAAGTTAAACTTTCCATTTATGAAAAAATATACCTAGTGTTCCATAAAAAAAAATAAATTTGACGTCATTTCCAGTTCTACCGGAAGTGATAATAAAAATATGAGGTTACCATGACATACATATTTTAAAATGATACAAATTTGCTCAAAGAACTACAGGTTTATCTTTAAGAATAAAAAAATTATAGGGTTTCTATCAAATAAAAGAGACACCCTGTATATCTTTTATTTAAACAGTTTTAAAGATGGAAGTGTTCAATTTAACAAAAACTTTCTAGCTTACCTTAACTAATTGTATATATACAGGGTGATTAAATTTTCAATGTACTTAAAGTACTTAATCTTTTTTATATTTTTGAAAAATTATTTAATCCAGTTTGCTAGAACTAATTTAGGGCTAGAGTTTTGAATTATTTTCAGACATACAGAGTGTTCCGTTTAAAAGTTGATCATTAAATTTCTATTTCTGAATGGAACAATCTATATATTTTTACAAAACAAAACGAAAAACAAGGCATACCTAAATATCGACAGAAATACAACGTAGTTATATGGAGGGGCTTCTAGACCACTTTGACCTCAGTTGACCCCGACCTAGAACCCTCACGCGGGAAAAGCGGAGTCAACTGAGGTCAAAATGGCCTAGAACCCACACTATGAACGTAACTTAATTATTTATCTACAAAATATTACAACACAGATGTCAAAAATAACCCAATTTATTTTTTTGTGAACCTTTGAAAAAAATTGGAAAAACTTTGAACGTCTCTTTGAAATCTAAAAAAAAAATGCTTGTAAAGTCAATTAAAAATTGTGCTTCATTAAAAAACAAACTCTTTATAGTGGAAACTAATAATTGAAATTATCTACAAAATTGTACAAGATTTAGGGCTAGAATTTTCATTTTTTCAGATATACAAAGTACTCAATCCTGTATATTTTTACAGCTATATAAATTTTTATTAAAAAAAAAGAACAAAATCAAGGTTTACCAAAATATCAACAAAAAGGTAAAATACTTATATAGTGGGGTTTCTAGATCACTTTGAGCTCAGTTAACCTGGCCTGGAACCCCCATACAGGTTTTGAGCCACGTTGACTTGGGCCGAATAGCGGGGTCAACTGAGACCAAAGTGGTCCAGATCGAACATGAGGGTTTTAGACCAGGTCAGCTGAGGTCAAAGTGACCTAGAAGCCTCACCATATAACTGCTGGGTCATAAAAAAATCACATTTTTATATACACCTTGTATATTAAAATTCAACTTTATTAATACTAAAATAACGTGTACAATTTTAATTATTATTATCTATTCATAAAAAATCACAACACAGTTGGCAAAAATAACCCTACAGCGAGTTTTTATGAACCCTCGATCTGCAGAAAAATATCAAGAAAAGTGGAAAAATTTGGTAACAATTTTCAGTTATTTCTGAAAAATGTTTTAAAGTTAAGCAGAGAAGTCCTATTTTTTTAACATTCTATATATTTTTAATGATAAATGTTTTTATTAAAAAAATGGACAAAACGAACCAAAATCAAGACTTTTTGATCAACAATTCTGAAAATATTTGAATTTTTACGAAAAAAAGTCATACTTAAAAATTCACAAAAAATTTGGTACCAAAAAATACATCGATAAAATATTTGTCTGCATAAAAATGGAAATAGGTAGAACTATAGTATTAATACCGAATATAAATTTACAAAAGCTTGTAGTGTGTTCATTTTCGTTCACAGCCGTTTATCTCTCGAATTAATTTTTGTCAATTTTTATCCCGTGTCGTGGCGATAAAACGTCGGTGAAACAGCCTGTATAATAATCCACTTTGCATAAAAACCAGGTTGCGCCACGCCGCATTTTTCTGATATCTGCTGATTCTCTGGAAACTGTTGGTGACCCGATGGTGAGACTCTGCCCAGCCGTTCGCATTTTAATTGGTTCATTCCAGAAATCCGTTAAGTATTCCTGCCTGGTGCAAGACGACTCCGTTTCCTCCGAGGTGATGGTTAATATTCACGTTGTGGACCCGCACCTCGTCCGGACCTGCCCCCCGGAGTATTCCTTAAACGTTACATGGCCGGAAACGGCCCCAGATACCGATAGCCTGCAAGAATGCCCCAAAGGTTACGCATTTCCGGGCTTCGTCCGGCGTTCGTGCACCCTGAACGATGGTTTGCGTCCCATTTGGAGGCTCCCCGACTACTCCCACTGCACTTCCGAACGATTGTATAAAATAGGGTCGGACGTAAGTCCGGTTATTTAGGGCGACTCTGCGATTATCGGGGTTTGTTTTCCAGTTGCGACTGTTGCAATTAGGGTACGAAACCGCCACGCCTGTCCAAATACTCGAGAGCTGTCTTCGATATCTTACATTTAAATCTGACAGTGGTTTATTGCCAGGAGAAGGAACCCGCATACTGTTGTTAGTGAGGGATGTTATTTCCTACACGAAACGCTCTCGTTACGTCCCTCATAATGTTACCACGGCTGTGTTTGATCTTGTCAACAGGGTTCTGATGTGGCCGAACTCGCTCATTGATCAGGAGGTTTGTCACTTTTCGTATGTTTGTACGGAGGGAACACTACCACTCGATTCCAACTTCATTTCGGGAATTTTCTGGGGCGGGAACACCTGAGTGCCTGAATTTAATATTATGGTTCGAGGTGTTTTCGTTTCGCTCCAATTTCGTTATGGAGTTGTTTGACGGTTTCCGCAAAACGAGACTCGGAATTAACAAACGATCGAGGCGAGCAAAAAACCACGTTTAAAATAAATTAAAACGCATGAATGTAATAACAAAAACCCACGCGCTTCCTCATTCCCGGGGTCGAGTAAGATACAAAGAAAAAATTATTAAAGATTACGTTGTCGGTGCTTCGTTAGGGTCATGGACGCAAGTTACATTCCGTTTTTACTGCAGGGAAACGTGCCGAGAGTGCGAAATTCAAAATTACAAATGCAGAAGCAGTAGGCGCTTAATTACACTGACGTCACGCTGTACGCGTCATGACTGTCAACCAATCACAAATGAGTGTTTTGCGCGGGGAAACATCCAAATTCAAATGAGGACGTTGATGACTAGAACACATTTTTTAATAAACTGAAGGAAAAATTTTAAAATGAAAAAAAAAAACGTTTGAATTGATTTCAACCATAAACATGGTATATTTTTAGAATCATCATGTCGAAATCTATATCCTAAAATTTTTTAGTAATTTTTTGGCAATCTTTTCAAAAGCAAAATTTTTTTATACCAAAATACCCTTCGGAGAATTTCGGTCAAATTTCGAAATTTAACCAAATACATTTTCCTGTACATTTTGACTTCCAGAAGTTACTTTCGGCTTTATTTCTCCCATAATTCCTACCATTTTTCCAGAATTGTCGATTGAAATTTGATAATTTTTGAATTGTTTCAAAAAATTTGATTTCAGCCGAAATATTTCTAAAACCTTTACCCAAAACCTTTAACAGGCTATATTTTTGGAATCATCACGTTGAAGTCCATATCCCAGAATTTTTTGGAAATTTTTTGACAATCTTTTCAAAAGCAAAATTTTTCGACACCAAAAATACCTTTGGGAAAATTTTAGGCCAATTTTCGACCAATTCCAAAATATAACCAAACACTTTTCTTGTAGATTGTAACCTCCAGAAGTTATTTTCGGCTTTATTTCTCCGATAACTTCTGCAATATTTCCAGAATCGCGGATTGAAGTAAGACAATTTTTTCATTTTTTCAAAAAATACGATTTCAACTGAAATATTTCTAGAACCTGTACCCGAAATCTTTAACCCGCTACATTTTTTGGAATCATCACATCGAAATCTATATCCCAGAATTTTTTGGGAATTTTTTTGCAACCTTTTCAAAAGCAAAATTTGTTTATATAAAAATACCCTTAGGAAAATTTCGGTCAAATTTCGCAATTTAACCAAATACATTTTCCTGTAGATTTTGACCTCCAGAAGATACTTTCGGCTTTATTCCTCCGATAATTCCTACCATTTTTCCAGAATTGTCGATTGAAATTTGATAATTTTTGAATTGTTTCAAAAAATTTGATTTCAGCCGAAATATTTCTAAAACCTTTACTCAAAACCTTTAATACGCTATATTTTGGAATCATCACGTTGAAGTCCATATCCCAGAATTTTTTGGAAATTTTTTGACAATCTTTTCAAAAGCAAAATTTTTCGACACCAAAAATACCTTTGGGAAAATTTTAGGCCAATTTTCGACCAATTCCAAAATATAACCAAACACTTTTCTTGTAGATTGTAACCTCCAGAAGTTATTTTCGGCTTTATTTCTCCGATAACTTCTGCAATATTTCCAGAATCGCGGATTGAAGTAAGACAATTTTTTCATTTTTTCAAAAAATACGATTTCAACTGAAATATTTCTAGAACCTGTACCCGAAATCTTTAACCCGCTACATTTTTTGGAATCATCACATCGAAATCTATATCCCAGAATTTTTTGGGAATTTTTTTGCAACCTTTTCAAAAGCAAAATTTGTTTATATCAAAATACCCTTAGGAAAATTTCGGTCAAATTTCGCAATTTAACCAAATACATTTTCCTGTAGATTTTGACCTCCAGAAGATACTTTCGGCTTTATTCCTCCGATAATTCCTACCATTTTTCCAGAATTGTCGATTGAAATTTGATAATTTTTTAATTTTTTCAAAAAATTTGATTTCAGCCGAAATATTTCTAAAACCTTTACCCAAAACCTTTAACACGCTATATTTTTGGAATCATCACGTTGAAGTAAATATCCCAGAATTTTTTGGAAATTTTTTGACAATCTTTTCAAAAGCAAAATTTTTCGACACCAAAAATACCCTTAGAAAAATTTTTGGCCAATTTTCGACCAATTCCAAAATTTAACCAAACATTTTTCTTGTAGATTATAACCTCCAGAAGTTATTTTCGGCTTTATTTCTCCGATAACTTCTGCAATATTTCCAAAATCGCGGATTGAAGTAAGACATTTTTTTTATTTTTTCAAAAAATACGATTTCAACTGAAATATTTCTAGAATCTTTACCCGGAATCTTTAACCCGCTACATTTTTTTGGAATCATCACATCGAAATCTATATCCCAGAATTTTTTGGGAATTTTTTGGCAACCTTTTCAAAAGCAAAATTTTTCAACACCAAAAATACCCTTAGGAAAATTTTAAGCCAATTTTCGACCAATTCCAAAATTTAGCCAAATACTTTTCTTGTAGATTTTAACCTCCAGAAGTTATTTTCGACTTTATTTCTCCGATAACTTCTGCAATATTTCCAGAATCGCCGATTGAAATATGAAAATTTTTTAATTTTTTCATGAAATACGGTTTCAACTGAAAAATTTCGAGAACCTTTACTCGAAACCTTTAACACGCTATATTTTTGGAAACATTACGTCGAAATCTATACACCAGAATTTTTTGGGAATTTTTTGGCAACCTTTTCAAAAGAAACATTTTTCAATAGAAAAAATACCCTTTGAAACATTTCGACCAATTTTCAATTTTCAAATTTAACCAAATACATTTTTTTGTACATTTTGACCTCCAGAAGTTACTTTCAGCTTTATTTCTCCTACAGCTTCTGTAATTTTTTCCAGAATCGCCGAACGAAATATCAAAATTTTTGAGGTTTTTCAAAAAATACGATTTCAACCGAAATATTTCTAGAACTTTTTCCCGAAAGCATAAATACGCTATATTTTTGGAATCATCACGTCGTTATCTGTATCCCACAATTTTTTTGGTATTTTTTAAGCAAAATTCTTCGATACCAAAAATACCCTTAGGAAAAATTCGACCAATTTTCGACCCATTTCGAAATTGAACGAATTGCATTTTCTTGTGGATTTTGACCCCCAGAAGTTATCTTTTTATTTCTCCGATAAAAACTGCAATGTTTCCAAAATCACCCATTGAAATATAACCATTTTTTGGATTATTTTCAAAAAATTTGATTTCGACCGAAATAGTTCTAAGACCTTTACCTGAAACCATTAACACTGTGTATTTTTCAAATACACACGTCCAAGTGTATGACCTAGAATTTTTTGGGAATTTTTTGCCAACCTTTTAAAAGCAAAATTTTTCAGAAAAATGTCGGTCAATTTTCGGTCAATTTCGAAATTTAACCAAATACATTTTCTTGTATATTCCGACCTTTAGAAGTAACTTTCGGCTTCATATCTCCGATAACTCTTACCATTTTTACGGAATCGCCGATTGAAATTTGACAATTTTTGAATTTTTTCCAAAAATACGATTTCAACTGAAATATGTCTAATATAACTTTTACTCAAAACCTTTAACACGCTATATTTTTGGAATCATCACGGCGAAAAGTATATCCCAGAATTTTTTGGGAATTTTTTGGCAACTTTTTCAAAATCAAAATTTTTCAATAAAACTCCAAATAAAAAATTTCGGCCAATTTCTGACTATTTTCGAAAATTAACCCAAGGCATTTTTTCCAGATTCCGACCTCCAGAAGTTACTTTTCGCTTCATTTCCTCGATAACTCCTACCATTTTTCCAGAATCGTGGATTGAAATATGACAATTTTTAGGTTTTTCAAATAAATCGATTTGAACCGAAATATTTCTAAAATCTTCACCAATATATATATTTTCGCTAGATTTTTAGAATCAGCACGTCGTAATATATATCCCAGATTTTTTTTTAATCTTTTCGCAACTTTTTCAAAAAAAAATTTTCAATTCAGGAAAATTTCGGCAATTTTTGGACTATTTTCGAAAATTAATCCAAAATATGTTCTTGTAGATTTCAACCTCCAGAAATTACTTTCGGCTTTATAACTTTGATAATTCCTACCATTTTTCTAGAATCGCCGATTGAAATAAGACAATTTTTGGATTTTTGCCAAAAATTTGATTTCAACCAAAATATTTCTAAAATCTTTACCGGAAACCATAAACATTCATTTTTAGAATCAGTATGTCGAAATCTACATCCCAGGATTTTATGGAAATTTTTTGGCAACTTTTTCAAAAACAAAATTTTTCAAAAAAATTTCGGACAATTTTCAACCAATTTCGAAAATTAACCAGACATTTTCTTGTAAATTTTGTCTTCCAGAAATTACTTTCTGCTTTATTTCTTTGATAACTCCTTCCGACTGAAATATGACAATTTCTGGATTTTTCCAAAAATTTGAGTTCAACCAAAATATCTCTAAAATCTTTACCGGAAACCATAACACGCTATATTTTTAGAATCAGTCAAAGACATGTTCTTGTAGATTTTGTCTTCCAGAAATGACTTTCGGTTTCATTTCTTTGATAACTCCTACCATTTTTCCAGAATCGCCGACTGAAATATGACGATTTTTCGGTTTTTTCCAAAAATTTGATTTCAAGCAAAATATCTCTAAAATCTTTACCGGAAACCGTAAGACGCTATATTTTTAGAATCAGTACGTCGAAATCTATGTCTGAGAATTTTTAGTAAACTTTTTGCAACTTTTTCAAAAACAAAATTTTTCAAAAAAAAATTGGGCAAATTTTGGACCATTTTCGAAAATTAACCAAAAACATTTTCTTGTACATTTCAACTTCCAAGAGTTACTTTCGGCTACATTTCTCCGATAATTTCTGCAATTTTTCCAGAATCGCCTTTAAAATATGACGATTTTTGATTATTTTGAAACTGAAAAAATTCTATTTCAACCGAAATATTTCTAAAACCTTTACCCGAAACCAAAAACACGATATATTTTTAGAGTCAGCACGTGGAAATCTATATCCCAGAATTTTATGGAAATGTTTTGGCAACTTTTTCAAAAACAAAATTTTTCAATTAAATTTCGGAGAATTTTCACCAATTTCGAAAATTAACCAGACATTTTCTTGTAAATTTCGTCTTCCAGAAATTACTTTCGGCTTTATTTCTTTGATAACTCCTTCCATTTTTCCAGAATCCCCGACTGAAATATGACGATTTTTGGATTTTTTCTAAAAATTTGAGTTCAACCAAATATCTCTAAAATCTTTACCGGAAACCATAAGACGCTATGTTTTTAGAATCAGTACGTCGAAATCTGTATCTGAGGATTTTTAGTCAATTTTTGGCAACTTTTTCAAAAACTAAATTTTTCAATAAAATTTCGGCCAATTTTGGACCATTTTCGAAAATTAACGGAAAACATTTTCTTGTACATTTCGACTTCCAGGAGTTACTTTCGGCTACATTTCTCCGAAAATTTCTGCAATTTTTCCAGAATTGCCTTTAAAATATCACAATTTTTGAATATATTAAAATTGAAAAAATTAAATTCTACCGAAATATTTGTAAATCCTATACCTGAAACCAAAAACACGCTATATGTTTAGAGTCAGCACGTGGAAATGTATATCCCAGAATTTTATGAAAATGTTTTGGCAAATTTTTCAAAAACAAAATTTTTCAATAAAATTTCGGACAATTTTCGACCAATTTCGAAAATTAACCAAAGACATTTTCTTGTAAATTTTGTCATCCAGAAATTACTTTCGGCTTCATTTCTTTGATAACTCCTTCCTTTTTCCAGAATCGCCGACTGAAATATGACAATTTCTGGATTTTTTCCAAAAATTTGAGTTCAACCAAAATATCTCTAAAATCTTTACCGGAAATCATAAGATGCTATATTTTTAGAATCAGTACGTCGAAATCTATGTCTGAGAATTTTTAGTAAATTTGTTGGCAACGTTTTCAAAAATTAATTTTTCAAAAAAATTTCGGCAAATTTTGGACCATTTTCGAAAATTAACCAAAAACATTTTCTTATACATTTCGACTTCTAGTAGTTACTTTCGGCTACATTTCTCCGATAATTTCTGCAATTTTTCCAGAATCGCCTTTAAAATATGACGATTTTTGATTATTTTGAAATTGAAAAAATTGTATTTCAACCGAAATAATTCTAAAATCTTTACCCGCAACCAGAAACACGCTATATTTTTAGAGTCAGCACGTGGAAATCTATATCCCAGAATTTTTTGGAAACTTTTTGGCAACGTTTTCAAAAACAAAATTTTTCAATAAAATTTCGGACAATTTTCGACCATTTTCGAAATTAACCAAAAACATTTTCTTGTACATTTCGACCTCCAGAAGTTACTTTCGGCTTCACTTTTCCGATAATTTCTGCAATTTTTCCAGAATCGCCTTTAAAATATGACGATTTTTGATTATTTTGAAATTCTATTTCAACCGAAATCTTTCTAAAACCTTTACCCGAAACCAAAAACACGACATATGTTTAGAGTCAGCACGTGGAAATCTATATCCCAGAATTTTATGGAAATTTTTTGGTAACTTTTTCAGAAACAAAATTTTTCAATTAAATTTCGGACAATTTTCGACCAATTTCAAAAATTTTCTTGTAGATTTTGTCTTCCAGAAATGACTTTCGGCTTCATTTCTTTTATAACTACTACCATTTTTCCAGAATCGCCGACTGAAATATGACAATTTTTGGATTTTTTCCAAAAATTTGATTTCAACGAAAATATTTCTAAAATTTTTACCGAAAACCATAAAACGTTATATTTTTAGAATCAATACTTCGAAATCTATATCAGAGGAGTTTTTGGAATTTTTTTGACAACTGTTTCAAAAACAAAATTTTTCAATATAATTTCGGCCAATTTTGGACCATATTCGAAAATCAACGACAATTTTTCGACAATTTTACAAATTTAATCAGACTTTCTTGTACATTCCGATCTACAGAAGTTACTTTCGGCTTCATTTCTCCGATAATTTCTGCAATGTTTCCAGAATCGCCGATTAAAAATATAACTTTTGATTATTTTGAAAAAATTAGATTTCAACCGAAATATTTCTAAAACCTTTACCCGAAACCAAAAACACGCTATATTTTTAGAATCAGCACAAATTAGTTTCGACTTCATTTCTTTGATAACTCCTACTATTTTTCCAGAATCGCCTATTGAAATATGACAATTTTTGGATTTCCGCCAAAAATTTGATTTCAACCAAAATATTTCTAAAATCTTTGCCGGAAACCATAAACACGACATAATATTAGAATCAGTGCGTGGAAATCTATATTCCAGAATTTTTTGGAAATTTTTCGGCAAATTTTTCAAAAAAAAAAAATTCAATAAAAGTTCGGCCAATTTTCGACCATTTTCTTGTAGATTTCGACCTCCAGAAGTTACTTTCGGCTTCATGTCTCCCATAACTTTTGCAATTTTTCCAGAATCGCCCATTAAAATATGACAATTTTTGATTACTTTGAAAAAATTCGATTTCAACTGAAATATTTCTACAACCTTAACCCGACACTATAAACACGCTATTTTTACAATCAACACGTCGAAATCTAAACTCCAGAATTTGTTAGTAATTTACAACCTTTTCAAATTTTTGAATACCAATTTTCGACCAATTTCTACGGGCGAAAACCTGAAAAGAATCTGAATTTAATATTATGTCTCGAGCTGTTTTCGTTTCCGCTTCAATTTCGCTATTTCGCAATCAAGCTTCGGAATTAACAAACCATCAAGACTAAAAAAAAGCACATTTAAAATAAATTAAAACGCACGAATGTAATAACAAAATCCCAGCCGCTTTCTCATTTCCGATTTTCGCATAAGAAAAACAACGAAAAAATTATTAAAGATTACGTTCTCTCTGTGCTCCGTTAAGCGAGCGAAATTTCAACTTAGCTAGTAGCTGCTTAATTCGATTGACGTCACGCTTACGCGTCATGCCCGTCACCAATAAGAACAAAGTATTTTAGCGCGAAAACACGAACTCAAATTTCAAAATAAAAACAAACCCGTTTTCAGCAAGTGAAGCTCCTTCAAGAAGTCGTCAGTCAACAAATCGAGATCTCCGCCCAACTCTTATCCGCTTCCGAGCCCCTGTTTCACTTAGCCCTTCCCGCCATTGACGTTAATTTGATGGACGGCGACCAGAAAGAACTACCATTTCTCTCCCCCAACAACACTAAGTATAGCCCCCTCGTTTCCAAATTCGTTCTAAATTTCAATTCCAGCCACCACACTTGGACCCCGTTCAAAACCAAAATCCACTTCAAAGACAAACTCAAAGAAAAAGTCGCCACCAAACTGAACCAAAGCGTCATCGGGGTGGTCATTTACAGAAACCTCACAGCTTTCCTGCCGTCGCGCTCCGTCATCCGACTAAAGTAAACCCAGTCGCCTTTTTAGCGCTTCTCTATCAATCGATTTACAGGGACGGATCCGAAGCCGAGTACGAGGTAATATCTCAAGTTGTTCGCATATGGATCCTGTCAAAAGATAAAAGTTATGAAAGTTACAACCCGCACATAATTCTGGAATGGAAACACGATTCGTACGATAATTCAAGCCGGGAGGGCTGGTACATGAAGTGTGCTATGGCCAAAACTGCGATGTATGCGTACTCGTGGAACACCACCGCGTGCACCACGAGGTTGCTGCACTTCAATGTGACCAGATGCACGTGTCCGGCGGCCGGGACTTTCGCAATGCTGCTAACCACCAACAACGTACAAGTAAATACAAGTTTTAGCGCTGAATGACGTTTATAGACCAGCATCTGCGGTGAACATTCTATTCGGACCAGCATCTGCGTTTGACACTCTATTCCTAGTTTTTCGGAAATACGATATAAAAATTTGATTTTTCAGGTCGAGAAAGAAGAGCCACAACCCCGTCGCTACATCGTCTTGGCTGGATGCTCCCTCTGCTTCCTCTCCGCCCTCACCTGCACCATCGTCTTGACCGCGCACTGGCTCCTCAAGCGCTCCTGCATCGTTTTTCTCAAATTACAATGTTCAGTGTCCGTGACTGGCGTAATGTTGACCTTCGTGCTCGTAACAGTAGGGGACACACCCGAGGTACATAACAAACGACCGTCGCATGTTGACATTTTATTAATTGTTGCGTTATCTAGCGCCTGTTCCCGAGTGTTATGGCCATCATCGAGATTCTTCTCCTCATGGGAATGTCAGCTCATATAAGTATCCTCCTCATGGTGTACACCGAACTGGTCCAACTCCCCAAATCCACAGCGTCCAAGCAAACTGTGATAGGGATAAGCACGGGAGTTCCCGTTATAGCCGTTTTCGGTAACCATTTAGCCCATCGCACCATGGACGTGCGCCTGAAGTCATGGTGGCTCCTAGCCGGCACTCTAGCGTTCCACATATTCGTAACAGTGATCACTGTGATAGTAGCGCTTTTCCTTCTACTCTACTTCACTGTGATAAGTAAACTGAAGAAACTGACCACGATTCGGGAGAAGGAGGGGAAGATTTTGCAAACACGGTTTGTAGAGTCGGGGTTTGGGAAAGTTTTAATGTCTTTTTTGTAGGATAAGTTTGCTGAAGAGGTCTGCGTTTGTCTTCGGGGCTTTGGTCGTGCTGACGGCCAGCAGTATTTTGTACATAAATTTTTTAAACGCCATCTGGTCCCATTATGAATTTAGTGTAGCCGCAATGTTGCTGGTAACGTTTTCAAGTTTGGGGAATTGAGGGCTGGATTTTTTGTTTCAGAGTCTTGTAATCGTTATTTCGTATATTGCTAAGTCGGAAACCGAGTTTTTGTACTTGTTTCGGAGAAAACTTAAAACGAAACAGAAGGAGGGTTTCTTTGGAGTGGAATCCACCGGTAGTCCATTAAACTGTGAGTAAACATTGGGCACTTAGGCGGTTTTGGGTGGTGTTTGTTTATTTCCCGAAGTCATGAGGGCGCAAGATGCAGCTAGTTATAAGGGGGTTTTGTGTTTCAATACGAACTTGCTTTTTGTTCAAGTTTATATTTTATTTACACGTTTCGGGTCCTACCACCATTAATGTCTACATAATAATTTTTTGAATCATTTTTAAAACTATGGTGAATAGCGTTATTAAAAAAAAAAATGGTCCGAGATCACAAATAGGTTATTTTTTTTACATTTCCTTGATGACTCACTTTTTCAGAAATTAAAGTAATGCAATTGTTTAGATTTTTTAAAAGTGGACCTAGCATCAGAACAGCATGTATTTTTGCAATCAGCGTGTCGAAAACTACATAACAGATTTTTTTGGGATTTTTTTGGAAACTATTTCGAAAGCAAAATTTTACAATAGAAAAATCTAGGCCAATTTTCAACTACTCTCGAAACTAAACCAAAGCCATTTTCTTGTCTATTTTGACCTTTAGGAGTTACTTTCGCCCTCATTCCCCCTGTAACTCCTGCCACCTTTTTTCAGGAATCGCCAATTGAAATTTTTGGATTTTTTTCAAAAAATTCGATTTAAAACCGAATATTTTTAAAATCTTGTCCCGGGACCATAAACACGCTTTAGTTTTGAAATCACCTCGTCGAAATCTATCTTCCAGAATCTTTTGATAATTTTTTGGCAATCTTTCAAAAGCAAAATTTTTCAATACCAGGTAGGAAATTTAGGAAAATTTCGGGCAATATTTAACCAAAGACATTTTCTTGTTGTTTTCGACCTCTAGAACTTACTTTAACCTGCATTCCTTCGGTAACTCCGATTAAAATATGATAATATGATGATAAAATTTTTCAAAAAATTGGATTTCAACCGAAATATTTCTAAAACCTTCACCCGAAACCATAAACACGCTATATTTTTGGAATTAGCAAATCTAAATCTATACACGTGAATTTTTTGGTAATTTGTTGGCAACTTTTGCAAAAGCAAAATTTTTCAAAATTCCCCACCACAAAAATTTCGCCCAATTTTCCACCATTTTCGAAATTTCACCAGACATTTTCTTATAGATGTCAACCTCCAGAAGTTACTTTCGGTTTTTTGGATAACTCCCACCATTTGTCCAGAATTGCCGATTGAAATATTAAAATTTTTGGAAATTTTGAATTCACATTGCGTGTTTATTGGACCAGATATCGTCACGGCGATTTCAGAATCGTGATTAGCGGAAGATTATCTACAATTTGAAACCAATTTTTGGTTGTTTAAACCAATTTTAACCACTTTTTAGGAAAATTTTTGGAAATTTTGAATTCACTTTTTGTCTTTGTTGGACAAGATATCGTGGCGGCGATTTCAGAATCGTAACTAGCCAAAGATTATCTACAATTTGACACCAATTTTCGATCGATTGAACCTATTTTAACCACTTTTTTGGAAAATTTTTGGAAATTTTTAATACACTTTTCGAGTTTATTGGACCAGATATCGTCACGGCGATTTCAGAATCCGAACTAGCATAAGATTATCTACAACTTGAAATCAATTTTCGGTCGATTGAACCAATTTTAACCACTTTTTTGGAAAATTTTTGGAAATTTTGAATTCACTTTTCGTCTTTATTGGACCAAATATCGTGACGGCGATTTCAGAATCGTAACTAGCCAAAGATTATCTACAATTTGACACCAATTTTTGGTTGTTTAAACCAATTTTAACCACTTTTTTGGAAAATTTTTGGAAATTTTGAATTCACTTTTTGTCTTTGTTGGACCAGATATCGTGGCGCCGATTTCAGAATCGTAACTAGCCAAAGATTATCTACAATTTGACACCAATTTTCGATCGATTGAACCTATTTTAACCACTTTTTTGGAAAATTTTTGGAAATTTTTAATACACTTTTCGAGTTTATTGGACCAGATATCCTCACGGCGATTTCAGAATCGGAACTAGCGGAAGATTATCTACAATTTGACACCAAGTTTCGGTCGACTGAACCAATTTTAACCACATTTTTGGAAAATTTTTGGAAAATTTGAATTCACTTTGCGTGTTTATTGGACGAGATATCGTGGCGACGATTTCAGAATCGTAACTGGCGGAAGATTATCTACAATTTGACACCAATTTTCGATCGATTGAATCAATTTTAACCACTTTTTTGGAAAATTTTTGGAAATTTTGAATTCACTTTTGGTCTTTATTGGACTAAATATCGTGGCGGGGATTTCAGAATCGTAACTAGCCAAAGATTATCTACAATTTGACAAGAATTTTTGGTCGTTTAAACCAATTTTAACCACTTTTTTGGAAAATTTTTGGAAATTTTGAATTCACTTTGCGTGTTTATTGGACCAGATATGGTGGCGGCGATTTCAGAATCGTAACTAGCGGAAGATTATCTACAATTTGACACCAATTTTCGATCGATTGAACCAATTTTAACCACTTTTTTGGAAAATTTTTGGAAATTTTGAATTCGCTTTGCTTGTTTATTGGACCAGACATCGTCACAGTGATTTCAGAATCGTAACTAGCGGAAGATTATCTACAATTTAACATCAATTTTCGGTCGACTAAAACAATTTTAACCACTTTTTTGGAAAATTTTTGAAATTTTGAATTCACTTTCCGTCTTTATTGGACCATATATCGTGGCGGCGATTTCAGAATCGTAACTAGCCAAAGATTATCTACAATTTGACACAAATTTTTGGTCGTTTAAACCAATTTTAACCACTATTTTGGAAAATTTTTGGAAATTTTGAATTCACTTTGCGTGTTTATTGGACCAGATATTGTGGCGGCGATTTCAGAAATGTAACTGGCGGAAGATTATCTACAATTTGACACCAATTTTCGATCGATTGATCCAATTTTAACCACTTTTTAGAAATATTTTTGGAAATTTTGAATTCACTTTGCATCTTTATTAGATCAAATATAGTAGCGGCGATTTCAAAATCGTAACTAGCCAAAGATTATCTACAATTTGACACCAATTTTCGATCGATTGAACCAATTTTAACCACTTTTTTGGAAAATTTTTGGAAATTTTGAATTCACTTTTCGTCTTTATTGGACCAGATATCGAGGCGGCGATTTCAGAATCGTAACTAGCGGAAGATTATCTACAATTTAAGTCCAATTTTCGATCGATTGAACCAATTTTAACCACTTTTTTTGGAATATTTTTGGAAATTTTGAATTCACTTTGCGTGTTTATTGGACTAGATATCGTGGCGGCGATTTCAGAATCGTAACTAGCCAAAGATTATCTACAATTTGACACCAATTTTCGGTCGCTTAAACCAATTTTAATCACTCTTTTGGAAAATTTTTGGAAATTTTGAATTCACTTTGCGTGTTTGTTGGACCAGATATCGTCACGGCGATTTCAGAATCGTAACTAGCGGAAGATTATCTACAATTTGACACTAATTTTCGGTCGATTGATCCAATTTTAACCACTTTTTTGAAAAATTTTTGGAAATTTTGAATTCACTTTGCGTGTTTATTGGAACAGATATCGTCACGGTGATTTCAGAATCGTAACTAGCGGAAGATTATCTAAAAAAAATCTAATTCAACCCGAAAAATTTCTAAAACCTCTACACGAAACCATAGACATGCTATATTTTTAGAGTCAGCAAGTCGAAATCTATATCCCAGAATTTTTTGGAAATTTTTTGCAACGTTTTCAATTTCAACCCTTGAGAACAATTTTGCTGAATATTGACCACTTTTGAAACTTAACCAAAGACATTGCTTTGTAGATTTGAACCTCCGGAAGTTACTTCAAACTTCATTTCTTCAATAACTCCACTGAAATATGACGTTTTTTGGATTTTTTTAAAAAATTCCAAAATTTTTGTGTACTTTCAGCCAACTTCAAATGTTTTTACAAAAATCAGGACGGTTAAGTGAAAAAAAAAGAGATCATAAACCACAAGCACGGGAGCGTGTTAAATCATAAAACTTAAGATTTATTTAACAAAATTTTGAGATGACCTCATCAAATTGTTGGTGGAGATGATCAGGTAAAGTAAAAATACGAAAATAAAAAGTATAATTTAATCAATAAAACACAGTAAACTACAATTATTTAATAAAACAAACCTTTTTTTCACATTGAACACATAATCACCAATAAACAGACAGCCGGACGGACATAGTAGACCGACATCTCGCATTCCATAAGCTCTCTTAAACTAAAAAAAATCCTCTTCTAGTTTTCACCAAAGAAGAAGCCGAAGTAGAAAGCGAGAGCATGCCCCACCGCAAATCCGACCAGCAATCCTCCAAACAAGTCGAATGCTTCCCCATGTCGGACGCCATCTCCTGCAAATCCGGCCTCCCCGAGTGCGTCTCCGGCGCCATGGAGTCCTACGCCCACACCGACGCCATCTACTGCGCCCAGTCCTCGCTGCGCAACGACGCCATAGAGCGATACAACCGCAGCCCCCAGCTCTACCGCAAGAACGTCCCCTTCAAGATCGAGGACGACTCCGAGCGCCTGCGCTGCCGCTCCCCCGACATCATCGCGTCCAAGATATGCACCGAGCTGGACCTGGTGGCGTCGCACGCCCCCAGCATAGTCATCACCCCCGAGGAGACCATCACCCAGATTCTGACCACGCCGCAGGTGGCGGACGACTGGAGCAAGCGGACGCAGCCAGACGGCAAGGAAATTGCCACGGTGAGCGACAAAGTGGCGGAGGGGGCGACCGCCCCCGGGGACAAGCTGGACGGGATGCTGGATAGGATTAGCCACGATTTGGATTATTTGTTGAATAGGGGCGACGATCAGGATGTGTGCGCTGGACCGTCGACGAGGAAGCTGTCGAAGATAGGGGCGACGAACGTGATTGAGGAGGAAAACGAAGAGACTGAAGAGGATGTCAAAGTTCCGGAATCAATTACTGACATATTGAGAACTAGCTGTTAACGTAGGTCCCTGTTTAGAGGAAATGCCGGAAGATGGGGTAAATTTGAAGGCGCAGTATTTCCGTTTGTGTTACACACATTTATTATTATTTAGAAATTATTTATCAAATTGTAACATTTATATATAGTAGTTCGATTTTGGTTTAACAATGAAGTGCACGGTTGTAGTTTTCGCCGCTAGGTGTCGCCTGCGAATCAAATTTGCTCGACTGACGGTACGTTAAGTTAATGGAATCCCTATTAAGTTACTACAAGACCAAAAAATATCGTCACCGTTTGTGTACCTGATCTTTTGTACAGTCCACTGTTCCCATCCTAATGTTTTAACGAATTTATCGTCGCATCGAAGTGTAGGTAGTTAAATCAAACTTAGCTATACTGTGGCTAAATTCTCAAAGATTTTATTAGGCTAACAAATCTTGGATCTGCTACAATACACCATACATCTTAAAAATTGTGTCGAGGATTTTAGTCAATAACTGTGATAAGAATATTTACAAATCAACAATATTTAAATTATAGTTTGATGTGCCTTATTGTCACACTTTTAGTAGTTACGCTATACCGTTTAAAAGTGTGTTATGCGTGTTACTTATAACTAACTTTATATGGTTCTTGTGAGATTTTTGTTCGTGTAAATAGATTATTACCAAAATTCTTGTGTCTTAAACTATCATTGGTATTTAAAAACCTAAATATACTTAAGCTACTTTTATTGATATTCGGGTAAGTATAGTCGAAAAAACTACGCACAATCCTAGTCTAGAGGGAGAAATTAAATTAAATTAAATCACATCCTGATAATAAATAATTAAGCTATACTACAAGCAAATCAAAATATCACATTCTGTCAAATATCAACAAACCTATCAGTGTTCTTGCGCTTCCTCAGAATTAATTATTTCAAAATCACTATCGCTGCTGCTGTCTTTCCTTTGTACCGGAGGATTTACTACAACATTTTTTATGATACTAGCCATTTTGATTAAATTGTCACCAACTGCCGCTACGTTTAACAGCGTGCTAATAGTATCCTTATCGACGGAATCTCGATTATCGACATTAGCGAAACTCAAGTTCTTCGCGTAGGCCTCTTCCTCCGAAGAACTGTCCCCGTTGAAGTGACCTGACTCAAAACGAATACCTTTATTATCAGAGTCCGAATCACTCGAAATTTCACCGGGAGTGAAAGAAATAGCACCTTGATTGTTTCCCGGAGGCAACAGATCTTCTTCTTCGAGGCTTTCCTTGTCCTCGGCGTCGAGGTGCGACGGCATGGAATTTAGGCCGCTGATGAGAGAACTAGTAACTGAATCTGGAATAAACGTTTATTCTCTTCTAAAAAAGGAAGAAAATAATGACATGCGTCTTAAGCATGCAGTTAATTTGGAAGGAAACTCCGGGAAATGGGGGGACACCAAGGTACAAGGACAACAGTCACACAATTTCAAGGACTCGAGTTTGAGTGTTTTTGTGGAGCTCAGCTATGAGGTGAACGCTCGTAAAATTATTAAATAATAGACGTCGACAAGAAATAAAACGTGATAAAAACATTGTATGTTGTTTTACTTGTTATTTTTAGAAAAATAGTCATTTAAATATCGTTGACCTTCATATTGACGAAGTCTAGACGTCTTTATTGACCACATAATGATCTAATAATGAGTATTTTATTTTAATGCTATCCTTTGTGCTGTCAATATTATTTGGAACGTTTTTATTTATTTATTACTTATTTATATATCGTATGACCGATACGTCCTCTAGTGGGCCATGAAATTAATTTTTAAAATAAAGATGTTAGTATTGGGACTATTTGACATTTTATTTACACGTCAAAATCCCTAAATTAGCACCAAATTGAAGAAGGAACGCCAACATCAATATTTTAAAAATAAATTTCGTAACGTCGGTCGAATTTAGTTTAAAAAAACACCCTAATTACGCTTTAATTATTCTAAGATTGGCACTAGAGTTTCAGAGCTTCTTTCCACCAATTACCACCAATTTGAAGTTTAAAATTAGAAACAAACTGTCAATGACAATAAAATGAAACATAACCTTAAATTATTTCACTAAAAGTGACGTTGGCAACGCTGTCAGTTGAATTTTCACAGAAATTGCGGTGTTGGTGGTTTTTGATTGTGGAATAAAGTATGTTCTTAATGAAAATTATTACTTTATGGGACCAAATTGTTTTCACTAATCTAATAAAGATCTATGCGCCTCCCTATTAATAAAAACGTCTTACAGTACTCACTAATCAAATGTTTTTTTAAATTGTATCATAACAAACAATGAGTAGTGTAATTGACTTAATTTTATTTTTTAAAACCTGAACAACTGAACCTCTACAAAAAAAACACAGCAATGCTATAATTTGGAAAAAAAAAATCTAGAAAGTCAAAAATTTATTTTTAAAATAATGATGTTGGCAACACCGATGCGTTACTTGTTCAGTTTGACAGTTACGGTCACTTACTTGCCGAAGTCAGTCTTATCTTAGCAGCTACTAACCCCGCCCACCCACCCTCTCGTTTCTTAAAAGATATGTCATTTGCCAAAATCAGTTTTATCTTAGCAGATACTAACCCCGCCCACCCACCCTCTCTTTTCTTAGAAGGTATCTCTTTTGCCAAAATTAGTTTTATCGTGACAGCTACTAGCCCCGCCCACCCACCCTCTCTTTTCTTAGAGGATCTGTCATTTGCCAAAATAAGTCTTATCTTAGCAAGAAATAGCCCCGCCCACCCGCCCTTTATTTTCTTATAAGGTATGTTATTTGCCAAAATCAGTCTTATTTTAGCAGATACTTGCTTATTCTTTTTCAGTATCGAGTCATCAGGGATGATCGAGTACTTTTTCAATAAAATTGCCAACGCGTTTATGTTGGTATAACGGAAGTAATTCTGTGACGAGTTATGTTTTGGCTACATTTTGCAAATGGAAAAATGTCAAGCATCTGTAAATTATAGAAAACGGGTTGTCAATTTCAAATAAAAATCCAGGACTACCAATAGACTCAGTAATTTCTGATCACGGGATACTAATTAGTAGTAGCTAGTAATATTGGGAATTTTACGGCCAAATAACTGTCAATTGAAATGTCAAGTAACAGTGATGCCAAAATAAATATTTTAAAAATTAATTTCATGGCGCACTAGAGGACTTTTTTTAGTCAAAAATCCAGTGCTGTCTTTCATCGTGTTTTTGGCGCTCTATCGGGAAGTTTTAACAGACAAACTGTCACATGAACGAATAAAAGTTCTCTAGTAGGACATGAAATTTATTTTTAAAACAATGATGTTGGCAAAACTGACACGTTCCTTGTTCAGTTTGACAGCTACGGTAAAATCAAAGTCCCTATATTAGCACTAGGTACTTTAACTGTCAAATGAAATGTCATGTAGCAGTGACGCCAACATCAATATTTTCAAAATTAATTTCATAACCCACTAGAGGACTTTTTTCGATCATACGATAATTTGTGTTGTATAACACACCGACAAATCAGTAAAAACACGATCAAAGACAGACATGAATTTTTGAAAATTCAATTACAACTTTCGAATTGACCTTAACCTGACAACACAAAAATTCTATCAAAGACAAATCGTCAAAACTTCACAGGTGTCTTTGATCGTGTTTTTAGCGCTCTATCAGTATGTTATAAAAGACAAACTGTCACATGAACGAACAAAAGTCCTCTAGAAAGCTACGAAATTTATTTTTAAAACAATTATGTTGGCAAAACTGTCACGTTCTTTGTTCAGTTTGACAGTTACGGAAAAATCAAAGTCCCAACATAAGTTAGTTACTAATATAGGGAATTTAACGGTCATATAACTGTCAAATGAAGTGTCAATTAGTAGTAATGTCAACATCAATATTTTAAAAATTGGTTACATTTTTTTTCTTTTTCATTCCTTGGTCAGTTTGAGAGTTACGGCAAAATCAAAATCCCTATATTAGCACTAGTTACCAATATAGGGACTTTAACGATCAAATAACTGTCAAATGAAGTGTCAAGTAGCAGCGATACCAACATCAATATTTTAAAAATTAATTTCATGATCCACTGGAGGACTTTTTTCTGCATACGATAATTTGTGTTGTATAACACAGACAAAGCAGTAAAAACACGATCAAAAACAGACATGAATTTTTGAAAATTTGTCTTTGATCGTTGCATTTTCAATTTCAACTTTCAAATTGACCACAACCTGACAACACATAAATTCTATCAAAGACAAATCGTCAAAAATTCACAGGTGTCTTTGATCGTGTTTTTAGCGCTCTGTCGGTATGTTATAAAAGTGAAAGTATCACATGAACGTATAAAAGTCCTCTAGTAAGCCATGAAATTTATTTTTAAAACATTGATGTTGGTAAAACTGTCACGATCTTTGTTCGGTTTGACAGTTGCGGTAAAATCCCCAACAAAAGTTAGTTACTAATATAGGGAATTTAACGGTCATATAACTGTCAAATGAAGTGCCAACATCAATATTTTAAAAATCGGTTTCAGTTTTTTCCTTTTTCATTCCTTGGTCAGTTTGACAGTTACGGTAAAATCAAAGTCCCTATATTAGTACTAGTTACTTTAACTGTCAAATAACTGTCAATTGAAGTGTCAAATAGCAATGATGCCAACATCACAATTTTAAAAATTAATCTCAAGGCTACCTAGAGAACTTTTTTCGATCATATGATAGTTCATGTTTCATAACAAACCGACAGAGCAGTAAAAACACGATCAAGACAAGCATGGAATTTTGAAAATTTGTCTTTGATTGTTGCGTTTTCAACTCCAACTTTCAAATTGACCGTAACCTGACAACACAAAAATTCTATCAAAGACAAATCGTCAAAAATTCACAGGTGTCTTTGATCGTGTTTTTAGCGCTCTATCAGTATGTTATAAAAGACAAACTGTCACATGAACGAACAAAAGTCCTCTAGAAAGCTACGAAATTTATTTTTAAAACAATTAATGTTGGCAAAACTGGCAGGTTCCTTGTTCAGTTTGACAGTTACGGTAAAATTAAAGTCCCTATATTAGTACTAGTTACTAATATAGGGACTTTAACGATCAAATAACTGTCGAATGAAGTGTCAAGTAGCAGTGATGCCAACATCAATATTTTAAAAATTGGTTTCATTTTTTCCTTTCTCATTCCTTGGTTAGTTTGGCAGTTACGGTAAAATCAAAGTCCCTATATTAGTACTAGTTGCTTTAACTGTCAAATAACTGTCAAATGATGTGTCAAATAGCAATGATGCCAACATCAAAAGTTTAAAAATTAATTTCACGGGCCACTAGAGAACTTTTTTCGATCAGATGATAGTTCGTGTTTTATAACAAACCGACAGAGCAGTAAAAACACGATCAAAGACAAGCATGGATTTTTGAAAATTTGTCTTTGATTGTTGCGTTTTCAACTCCAACTTTCAATTTGACCGTAACTTGACAACACAAAAATTCTATTAAAGACAAATCGTCAAAAATTCACAGGTGTCTTTGATCGTGTTTTTAGCGCCCTATCAGCATGTTATAAAAGACAAACTGTCACATAAACGAACAAAAGTCCTCTAGAAGGCTACGAAATTTATTTTTAAAACAATGATGTTGGCAAAACTGGCAGTTTCCTTGTTCAGTTTGACATTTACGGTAAAATTAAAGTCCTTATACTAGTACTAGTTACTAACATAGAGACTTTCACGATCAAATAACTGTTAAATGAAGTGTCAAGTAGCAGTGATGCCAACATCAATATTTTAAAAATTGGTTTCATTTTTTCCTTTTTCGTTCCTTGGTCAGTTTGACAGTTACGGTAAAATCAAAGTCCCTATATTAGTACTAGTTACTTTAACTGTCAAATAACTGTCAAATGAAGTGTCAAATAGCAATGATGCCAACATCAAAATTTTAAAAATTAATTTCACGGACCACTAGAGAACTTTTTTCGATCATATCATAGTTCGTGTTTTATAACAAACCGACAAAACAGTAAAAACACGATCAAAGACAAGCATGGATTTTTGAAAATTTGTCTTTGATTGTTGCGTTTTCAACTCCAACTTTCAAATTTACCGTAACCTGACAATACAAAAATTCTATTAAAGACAAAGCGTCAAAAATTCACAGGTGTCTTTGATCGTGTTTTTAGCGCTCTATCGGTATGTTATAAAAGACAAACTGTCACATGAACAAACAAAAGTCCTGTAGAAGGCTACGAAATTTATTTTTAAAACAATGATGTTGGCAAAACTGGCAGGTTCCTTGTTCTGTTTGACAATTATTTGATCGTTTAACGACAAATAACCGTCAAATGAAGTGTCAAGTAGCAGTGATGCCAACATCAACATTTTAAAAATTGGTTTCATTTTTTCCTTTTTCATTCCTTGGTCAGTTTGACAGTTACGGTAAAATCAAAGTCCCTATATTAGTACTAGTTACTTTAACTGTCCAATAACTGTAAAATGAAGTGTCAAATAGCAGTGATGCCACCATCAAAATTTTAAAAATTAATTTCACGGCCCACTAGAGAACTTTTTTCGATCAGATGATAGTTCGTGTTTTATAACAAACCGACAGAGCAGTAAAAACACGATCAAAGACAAGCATGGATTTTTGAAAATTTGTCTTTGATTGTTGCGTTTTCAACTCCAATTTTCAATTAGACCGTAATCTGACAACACAAAAATTCTATTAAAGACAACTCGTCAAAAATTCACAGGTGTCTTTGATCGTGTTTTTAGCGCTCTATTAGTATGTCACATGAACGAACAAAAGTCCTCTAGAAGGCTACGAAATTTATTTTTAAAACAATGATGTTGGCAAAACTGGTAGATTTCTTGTTCAGTTCGACAGTTACGGTAAAATTAAAGTCCCTATATTAGTACTAGTTACTAACATAGGGACTTTAACGATCAAATAACTGTAAATGAAGTGACAAGTAGCAGTGATGCCAACATCAATATTTTAAAAATTGGTTTCATTTTTTCCTTTTTCATTCCTTGGTCAGTTTGACAGTTACGGTAAAATCAAAGTCCCTATATTAGTACTAGTTGCTTTAACTGTCAAATAACTGTCAAATTAAGTGTCAAATAGCAATGATGCCAACATCAAAATTTTAAAAATTAATTTCACGGCCCACTAGAGAACTTTTTTCGATCATATGATAGTTCGTGTTTTATAACAAACCGACAGAGCAGTAGAAACACGATCAAAGACAAGCATGGATTTTTGAAAATTTGTCTTTGATTGTTGCGTTTTCAACTCCAACTTTCAATTTGACCGTAACCAAATCGTCAAAAATTCACAGGTGTCTTTAATCGGTTTTTTAGCGCTCTATCAGTATGTTATAAAAGACAAACTGTCACATGAACGAACAAAAGTCCTCTAGTAGGCCATGGAATTTATTTCTGAAACAATTATGTTGGCAAAACTGACAAGTTCCTTGTTCAGTTTGACAGTTACGATAAAATCAAAGTCCCTATATTAGTACTAGTTACTTCAACTGTCAAATGAAGTGTCAAATAGCAGTGTGCCAACATCAATATTTTAAAAATTAATTTCATTCTTTTATAACACACTGACATTGCACTAAAAATCACGGTCAAAGACAAGAAAGGATTTTTGAAAGTTTGTCTTTGATCGTTGCATTTTCCGCTGAAATTGACGATAATCTGACGTGAATAAAAAATCCATGGCTGTCTTTGATTTTATTTTAAATTAAACTGACTTGTCTTTAACTTTTTTCATCAATTATTAAAATCTTGATAACTTGTTCTCCAAAAAGTGTCACAGACTTGTAAAAACAAATTTAAAAAAACACTCCACGTGTTTATCCAAGCATTTTACGTCAAGGACACCATAATTATTACCCAAGCTAGAATGCACGATTTCGCAAACAAAATTACCCAAATTATAAAAAAAACACTGCGTCGTTACAAAAACTATCAACCCAGAAAAAAACATGACAGTATTAAATGAATAAATTCGCGCAAAACAATTTTTCTTTGGCAAAGTCTCTACCCATCTAAAAATACCTCCAGAGATCATCAATCCCTGCACAAAACACCGACCAACATTCGCACCATCCGTGCCCCGACGCAATTATCAAATCGTCATTAGAAATAAGGACAAACAATAACATTGAAGCCACTGATAAAAACTTCACCATACATTTTAATTTATGAAAATGTCAGGCGTAAACAAACATCAAGGCCACAACAAACCCAACTATTTTTAAACGCGCAAATACGCTTATTTACCTGCTGTTTTATCAGTCAACAAACTATCAAGATCTGGATCACCCCGGTTAAAATCCTTATCTGAGATGAACGGGATTAGCTCATCTTCAGCAAGAACTCCTGGAAGCACATAGGTTATTGCTTGCGTTGCAAGGGGTGTTGTTACCTCGCTCTGATCCTATGGCTCGAATGAATTGTTTGAGGGAGGCTAGGTATTCCGGGGGCACTTTGGATAGCCCCAACGGGACGAAGAATATCGCTAGGAGCACCAAATAGAAGAGAACATAGCCGGATATATTTCTTGCCACAAAGCTAATTGATAGGAAAATCAGCGACATGCCAATGCAAAACTAAAACGTGAGAATGTATTAAAGGACATGTGGTTTTCGAACTAACCGAAGAGGGGCTGTCTTTACGGAGGGCTTTCAGCGACAGCACGATGTCCGTCAGGTCGTTTTTGAGCTCGTCTAGAATCTCCAAGTGTGACGCTTCCACGTTAACATACTGGGTGTTTTCGAAGCATGCATCAACCACGAAACCTACCAGAGTGAGTAGGAAGATAACCCCAAAAAACTTGAGCTGCAGTTGGATGACTAGCCTGAAATGACAACAACATGAATGCATTAAAAATAGAAGATTTATGCCGCCGTTACCAAAAAACGAAATTAAGTACCAAGAACGTTGTCAACGTCAGGGAAATATCCTCCCAGCTCAGGATCTTGTAGCACAGCTCGAAATAACCCTCAAATCTAGTGATTTCGCGTTTTTCCTCAGCCTTTTCCTCTCGGACGAAGATGCCACGGAAATCGCGCAGTTTCCTCGTGAGAAAATCCATGGAGATCTATTTTGGCTGGACGATGGGCTTTTGTTCGACAGCTGCCTTTGTATTTTCGGTGGGTCTGTGGACGATGGAAGGACGACGAAGAACACAAAACACTGTTTGTTATTGTCGATTAAAGGGATTGATGTAAACTACGCGCATTTTTATTTACACAATCTCTCATGACGTGCGAAACGTGATTAAAATTTGCTTATTTTCACGATTCAAAAAACAACAGATCGGGAATGGTCGGGTCACGCGACGTTGGGCGGGCAGTGGCGTAGGCGAGGGAGGGTCCAGCACGGTGGGGGGAGACGATATTATGGGGCTTGAAAATAATTGGTGAGGTTTACAAGAACCTTAGGCAAATCTGTTGAATTGTTGGAGAGAAAATAGATAAACTGACGTCTGGTATCACTAGCATAAGCTCCGCCTTATTAAATCATTTCATTGGCCCGGAGAAGAAGTACGGCGTTTAGTACTTAATTACGTCTACTTTATATGAATTTTTCAGTCGTTTTTCGCCTAAAAATTAAAATATAAAATCCCACTTCCATCTCAGAGCTAACAAAATGAGTCATCAAGACGGAATAGGGGTGGATGGATGGGGCCAGTTTTGACTTTATATTTAAATTTCAGCTTCTATCGCTTGTTAAATCAGAATTCACCTCCTATTTTAAAGTAAATAATATATTAATTAGTGAAATGGAGAAAGGCGGTGGGTGGAGCTAAGTTTACCTTTTTTTCTATAGAGTTCTATAAGAAGGCAATGGCCCCGCCCACCCACCCAACTCTTGATTCTAATGGCTACTCAATAATGTTAATTAATGACTAATCTATATCTTATTGTAGTCTTAAGCAAATCTGTTAAATGATTGCTGAGAAAGTTGATAAATTGTAAAAAAATTGTTTGGAAAATATTAAACAATACGAAATTAAAATATTACTTGAAGCATATAACTAACCGGGAAAAATTCTTTTCGAAAAATAGAAAAATAATCTAAAAATTGAAATTCAAAATCAAAAATTTTAAAAGTTGAAAAATGGAAAAATCAAAAATTTGGATATCGAAAAATTGAAAAATCGAAATACGAAAGATCTAGAACCCAGTTCCGACCTCATTTCTTTGATAACTACAACCATTTGTTCGGAATCGACCGTTCAAATTTCAAAATTTTTCGGAATATTCAAAAATTCGCGTTTCGTACCGATTGTTTCGAAAATGTTGCTCCGTGACCATCAACACGCTATATTTTTGGAATCAGCTTGTCGAGATCTACGTCCCTGAATTTTTTCACAATTTTTAAACACCTTTTTTGAAAGTGAAATTTTTCCAATGGTCCCCACTTCTTCAAATTTCGGCCAAATTTTGACATTTTCGAAACTTAACTAAACACATTTTCTTGTAGATTTCGAACTCTAGAACTCACTTCCGGCTTCGTTTCTTTGATAACTGCAACCGTTTTTCCAGAATCAACCGTTGAAATATTGAAATTTTTTGAAACCTTCAAAAATTCGCATTTCGTACCGATTCTTACGAAAATGATGCTCTGTGACCATCAACACGCCATGTTTTCGAAATCAGCATGTTGAGATCTACGTCCCTGAATTTTTTTACAATTTTTAGACAACTTTTTTAAAAGTGAAATTTTTTCAATGGTCCCCCCTTCTTCAAATTTCGGCCAAATTTTGACATTTTCGAAGCTTAACTAAACACATTTTCTTGTAGATTTCGAGCCCTAGAGCTCATTTCCGGCCTCGTTTCGTTGATAACTGTTACCGTTTTTCCAGAATCGACCGTTGAAATATCGAAATTTTTAGAAATCTTCAAAAATTCGCATTTTGTACCGATTCTTTCAAAAATGTTGCTCGGGGACCAAAAACACACCATATTTTTGGAATCACCATGTCGAGGTCTACGTGTCCAAATTTTTTCACAATTTTTAGACCACTTTTTTAAAAGTGAAATTGTTTCAATGGTCCCCCCTTCTTCAAATTTCGACCAAATTTTGACATTTTCGAAGCTTAACGAAACACATTTTTTTGTAGATTTCGAGCTCTAGATGTCACTTCCGGCCTCGTTTCTTTGATAACTGCAACGGTTTTTCCGGAATCGACCGTTAAAATTTCGAAATTTTTAGAAATCTTCAAAAATTCGCATTTTGTACCGTTTCTTTCGAAAATGTTGTTCCGTGACCATCAACACGTTATATTTCTGGAATCAGCTTGTCGAGATCTACGTCCCTGAATTTTTTCACAATTTTTAGACAACTTTTTTAAAAGTGAAATTTTTTCAATGGTCCCCCCTTCTTCAAATTTCGGCCAAATTTTGACATTTTCGAAACTTAACTAAACACATTTTCTTGTAGATTTCGAGCTCTGGAAGTCACTTCTGGCCTCGTCTCTTTGACAACTACAACCGTTTTTCCAGAATCGATCGTTGAAATATCGAAATTTTTAAAAATCTTCAAAAATTCACGTTTCGTACCGATTCTTTCGAAAATGTTGCTCCGCGACCATCAACACGCTATATTTTTGGAATCAGCTTGTCGAGATCTATGTCCCTGAATTTTTTCACAATTCTCAGGCAACTTTTTTAAAAGTGAAAATTTTCAATGGTCCCCCCTTCTTCAAATTTCGGCCAAATTTTGACATATTCTAAACTTAACTAAACACATTTTCTTGTAGATTTCGAGCTCTGGAAGTCACTTCCGGCCTCGTTTCTTTGATAACTGCAACCGTTTTTCCGGAATCGACCGTTGAAATATCGAAATTTTTAGAAATCTCCAAAAATTCGCATTTCGTACCGATTCTTTCGAAAATGTTGTTCCGTGACCATCAACACGCCATATTTTTGGAATCAGCTTGTCGAGATCTACGTCCCTGAATTTTTTCACAATTTTCAGACAACTTTTTTAAAAGTGAAATTTTTTCAATGGTCCCCCCTTCTTCAAATTTCGGCCAAATTTTGACATTTCCGAAACTTAACTAAACACATTTTATTGTAGACTTCGAGATCTAGAAGTCACTTCCGGCTTCGTTTCTTTGATAACTATGACCGTTTTTCCAGAATCAACCGTTGAAATATCGAAATTTTTAGAAATCTTCAAAAATTCGCATTTCGTACGGATTCTTTCGAAAATGTTGCTCCGTGACCATCAACACGCTATATTTTTGGAATCAGTATGTGGAGATCTACGTCCCTGAATTTTTTCAAAATTTTCAGACAACTTTTTTAAAAGTGAAAATTTTCAATGGTCCCCCCTTCTTCAAATTTCGGCCAAATTTTGACATTTTCGAAACTTAACTAAACACATTTTCTTGTAGATTTCGAGCTCTAGAAGTCACTTCCGGCTTCGTGTCTTTGATAACTATGACCGTTTTTCCAGAATCGACCCTTGAAATCTCGAAATTTTTAGAAATCTCCAAAAATTCGCATTTCGTACCGATTCTTTCGAAAATGTTGCTCCGTGACCATCAACACGCTATATTTTTGGAATCAGCTTGTCGAGATCTACGTCCCTGAATTTTTTCACAATTTTTAGACAACTTTTTTAAAAGTGAAAATTTTCAATGGTCCCCCTTCTTCAAATTTCGGCCAAATTTTGACATTTTCGAAACTTAACTAAACACATTTTCTTGTAGATTTCGAGCTCTAGAAGTCACTTCCGGCTTCGTGTCTTTGATAACTATGACCGTTTTTCCGGAATCGACCGTTGAAATATCGACATTTTTAGAAATCTTCAAAAATTCGCATTTCGTACCGATTCTTTCGAAAATGTTGTTCCGTGACCGTCAACACACCATATTTTTGGAAGTAGCTTGTCGAGATCTACGTCCCTGAATTTTTTCACAATTTTTAGAAAACTTTTTTAAACGTGAGATTTTCCAATGGTCCCCCCTTCTTCAAATTTCGGCCAAATTTTGACATTTTCGAAACTTAACTAAACACATTTTCTTGTAGATTTCGAGCTCTAGAAGTCACTTCCGGCTTCGTGTCTTTGATAACTATGACCGTTTTTCCAGAATCGACCCTTGAAATCTCGAAATTTTTAGAAATCTCCAAAAATTAGCATTTCGTACCGATTCTTTCGAAAATGTTGTTCCGTGACCATCAACACGCTATATTTTTGGAATCAGCATGTGGAGATCTACGTCCCTGAATTTTTTCACAATTTTCAAACAACTTTTTTAAAAGTGAAAATTTTCAATAGTCCCCCCTTCTTCAAATTTCGGCCAAATTTTGACACTTTCGAAACTTAACTAAACACATTTTCTTGTAGATTTCGAGCTCTAGAAGTCACTTCCAGCCTCGTTTCTTTGATAACTGCAACCGTTTTTCCAGAATCGACCGTTGAAATTTCGAAATTTTTAGAAATCTTCAAAAATTCGCATTTCGTACGGATTCTTTCGAAAATGTTGCTACGTGACCATCAACACGCTATATTTTTGGAATCAGTATGTGGAGATCTACGTCCCTGAATTTTTTCAAAATTTTCAGACAACTTTTTTAAAAGTAAAAATTTTCAATGGTCCCCCCTTCTACAAATTTCGGCCAAATTTTGACATTTCCGAAACTTAACTAAACACATTTTCTTGTAGATTTCGAGCTCTAGAAGTCACTTCCGGCTTCGTTTCTTTGATAACTACGGCCGTATTTCCAGAATCGACCGTTGAAATGTCGAAATTTTTAGAAATCTTCAAAAATTCGCATTTCGTACCGATTCTTTCGAAAATGTTGCTCCGTGACCATCAACACGCTATATTTTTGGAATCAGCTTGTCGAGATCCACGTCCCTGAATTTTTTCACAATTTTTAGACAACTTTTTTTAAAGTGAAATTTTTTCAATGGTCTTCAAATTTCGGCCAAATTTTGACATTTTCGAAACTTAACTAAACACATTTTCTTGTATAGTTCGAGCTCTGGAACTCACTTCCGGCCTCGTTTCTTTCATTACTGCAACCGTTTTTCCAGAATCGACCGTTGAAATCTCGAAATTTTCAGAAATCTTCAAAAATTCGCATTTCGTACCAATTCTTTCGAAAATGTTGCTTGGTGACCATCAGCACGATATATTTTTGAAATCAGCTTGTCGAGATCTACGTCCCTGAATTTTTTCACAATTTTCAGACAACTTTTTTAAAAGTGAAAATTTTCAATGGTCCCCCCTTCTTCAAATTTCAGCAAAATTTTGACATTTTCGAAACTTAACTAAACACATTTTCTTGTAGGTTTCGAGCTCTAGAAGTCACTTCCGGCCTCGTTTCTTTGACAACTATGACCGTTTTTCCAGAATCGACCGTTGAAATCTTGAAATTTTCAGAAATCTTCAAAAATTCGCATTTCTTACCGATTCTTTCGAAAATGTTGTTCCGTGACCATCAACACGCTATATTTTTGGAATCAGCTTGTCGAGATCTACGTCCCTGAATTTTTTCACAATTTTTAGACAACTTTTTTAAAAGTGAAATTTTTTCATTGGTCCCCTCTTCTTCAAATTTCGGCCAAATTTTGACATTTTCGAAACTTAACTAAACACATTTTCTTCTATATTTCGAGCTCTAAAACTCACTTCCGGCCTCGTTTCTTTCATTACTGCAACCGTTTTTCCAGAATCGACCGTTGAAATCTCGAAATTTTCAGAAATCTTCAAAAATTCGCATTTCGTACCGATTCTTTCGAAAATGTTGCTGCGTGACCTTCAACACGATATATTTTTGGAATCAGCTTGTCGAGATCTACGTCCCTGAATTTTTTCACAATTTTCAGACAACTTTTTTAAAAGTGAAAATTTTCAATGGTCCCCCCTTCTTCAAATTTCGGCAAAATTTTGACATTTTTGAAACTTAACTAAACACATTTTCTTGTAGATTTCGAGCTCTGGAAGTCACTTCCGGCCTCGTTTCTTTGATAAATGCAACGGTTTTTCCGGAATCGACCGTTGAAATTTCGAAATTTTTAGAAATCTTCAAAAATTCGCATTTTGTACAGATTCTTTCGAAAATGTAGTTCCGTGACCATCAACATGCTATATTTTTGGAATCAGCTTGTCGAGATCTACGTCCCTGAATTTTTTCACAATTTTTAGACAACTTTTTTGAAAGTGAAATTCTTCCAATGGTCCCCCCTTCTTCAAATTTCGCCCAAATTTTGACATTTTTGAAACTTAACTAAACAAACTAAAGACAACGGCATTTACAAAATTTCAATATCAAATTCTCTAGTCGTTCTCAAGTTATAAAGCCGCGGACTTTTAAAATTTATTCGAAAGCATATTGCACTGTATTGCTGGTTGCATATGTTTAAAACAAAGAAAATAAGTGATTGAATTTTTGGCACATTTATTAATATTTTACTCCATCACTAATATCAAATCCAATGGTAGAACTAATCCAACAGAATTTACTTATACATTAATTCCGGTTTGTAATTTTTAATCACTACAAAAACATTCTAACCTCACTTTTTTCCAGGAGAATGTCTTTCCTAAATAACTTTTTTGTAAAAACGGAACGAAATTTTAATTGTGCAGACGACATAGAACCATTTACGTGTAAAACGTGCCAACATTTCCAAACCCATTGTCTAGTCCAGTTGCAAGAACACGGAATAAACCACAAGAGTGAAGTATCAAATTTACAAATTAAAAAATGTGAAGAATGTAACTTCGAAACCTATTCCGACTATCTGCTATCCAGACACAATTATTTTTGTGCCCCCACAAACCCTCAAGAACTTAAACCAAAAAAAATTTATCGATTTCCTTGTGAACAATGCAATTCTAGATTCAAAAGGCGACATCATCTACAAAGACACACTGCAGCGAAACATTTATCAGAAAACGAAATCAAATGGCACCAGTGCCCACACTGCACATCCAAATTCAAAGAAAAAGGAACTTTAAAACTTCACATCATAGCAAAACATCTACCCGAAGACGAAATTCGTTGGTTAAAATGTGACCAGTGCCCCTCCAGATTCAAACAGAAATACCGCTTGAAATACCACGTCGACACCGTCCACGTCCTGGAAGACCAAATCCAGTGGGTCAAGTGTGACCAATGCACGTCCAAATTCAAACACAAGAGTTATTTAAGAGACCACATTATAATGAAACACCTACCGGAGCAAAAAATTCGATGGTTCCAGTGTGACCAGTGCGCAGCCAAGTTCAAACTCAAGTACCTTCTGCGGAGACACTTCAGCGCGAAGCACTTACCAGAAGACGAAATTCAGTGGTTCCACTGTGAACAGTGCTCAGCTAAATTCAAGTGCAAATCAAACTTGACGAGTCACTTTCGAGCGAAACACTTAGCGGAAGATAAAATTCGGTGGTTCCAATGTGAACAGTGCGTGTTTAGAAGCAAGGAAAAACGACATTTGCAGTACCACATTTCCGAGAGACATCTGCCAGAGGACGAAATCGAGTGGCTACAGTGCGAACAGTGCACGTCTCGGTTTAAGAGGAGGTCGAATTTGAAAATGCACGTTAAAGCTAAGCATGTACCGGAGAGCGAAATTGTGTGGGAGCTGTGTGATCAGTGTCCGGCCAGGTTCAAGCAGAAGAGGTCGCTGAAGCAGCACGTCGTATCCAAACATTTGTTAAAAGCTAAAGACTAGTTGTAAAAATGTTTTTTTTTTTATATAAAAAAGAAATAAAGTTTTGGAAAATCGTGCCTTTGTATGCAACCCACAATACATTACGGGCCTGCTAAATTTTAAAATGACGTCAAACTGGCGTATTTAAAAGGATTATAGAAGAAAAGTGGATGATTTACGTTGACCGTAAAAATTTACTATTTTAGACATGTTTTAAGTTTGTTGTCGAAATAAGTCTACACATATTAAGAAAACAAAGAAAAATGTAAGCCCGCCCACCCACCCTATCTCAATTCTGATGATTTTTTTTATTCGTCGTGAGCCAAGAGGGCGGAGCTTAACTGTAAAATCTATATTTCCTTACAAAAATTTACCATTTTAAACGTGATTAAGTTTCTCAGAATAAAAAAGATCATAACAATTGAGATGGGGTGGGTGGATTTATATTTTGGCTTTTTTTCTTAATATACGTAGTATTCTTTGAACAACCCGATACTCTAAAACATGTTTTAATTTCTTGTAAAGAAATGAGTGTTTTGCAGTTAAGATCCGCCCCTTTGGTTCACGGTGAATAAAAAAAATCATCACAATGGAAATGGGGTGGGTGGGCGGGGTTTATATTTTGTATTTTTTTCTTAATATACATAATATTATATGACCAACGATACTCAAACACATGTTTTTCATTTCTTGTAAAGAAATAAGTATTTTGCAGTTAAGCTCCGCCCCCTTGATTCACGGCGAATAAAAAAATCATCAGAATTGAGACAGGGTGGGTGGGTGGGGCTTATATTTTGCCTTTTTTGTTTTAATATGTGTAGACTTCTTTTCCCAAAATGAAACTTACAACATGTTTAAAATGGAAAATTTGTATAACGAAATATCGATTTTGCAATTAGGCTCCGCCCCATATTTCTTTGCAAAAATGTACCATTTTAACAATGTTTTCAGTTTCTTGTTGTGACAAGATGGCTATGTATATTAAGAAAAAAAGAAGGCAAAATATAAGCCCCGCCCACCATTTTTTTTATCATTGAGAGTCAAAGTAGCAAAATTTAATTGCAAAATTCTTGTTACTTCGCTACAAGAAATTACTATTAAGACTTGTTTTTGACTACCTATCATGTTATTCAAAGAATACTATGTACATATATTAAGAAAAAATTAAAAGCAAAGATTAAATTTGTATAAGGGAATATTGATTTTGCAAATAGGCTCCGCCCCATTATATTTCCTTGCCAAAATATACTATTTTAACCATGTTTTAAGTTTCTTGTGAAAATATGGCTAGGTTTGTTAAGAAAAAAAGACAAATCATAAGCCCCACCCACCCACCCTATCTCAATTCTGATAATTTTTTTTTGATTCGTCATAATCCGAGGGGAGGCGCTTAATTGTAAAATAGTTACATATTTTTCTATGACAAATTACCATGTGAAATATGTTCTTAAGTTATTATACAAAGAAAACTAAATGTATTAATTAAAAAGAAAACCAAAAGAGAAGCCCCACCCATTCGTCTCGATCTCAATCGTAATTCAATGTCAGGCAGAGGGGCGGAGCTTAATTGCAAAATTCATATTTCCTTACAAAAATTTACCATTTTTAATTTGTTTTAAGTTTCTAAGAATAAAAAAAAATCATTACAATTGGGATGGGGTGGGTGGGCGGGGTTTATATTATGTGTTTTTTTCTTAATATACATAGTATTATTTGAAAAACACGAGACTCAAACACATGTTTTTCATTTCTTGTAAAGAAATAAGTATTTTGCAGTTAAACTCCGCCCTCTTGGTTCACGGCGAATAAAAAAATCATCAGAATTGAGATAGGGTGGGTGGGCGGGGTTTATATTTTGTATTTTTTTCTTAATATACATAGTATTGTTTGAACAACACGATACTCAAACACATGTTTTTCATTTCTTACAAAAAATAAGTATTTTGCAGTTAAGCTCCGCCCTCTTGGCTCACGATGAATAAAAATAATCATCACAATTGGGATGGGGTGGGTGGGCGGGGTTGATATTTGGCCTTTTTTTTCTTAATATACATATTGTTCTTTGAACAAGCCGATACTCAAAAACATGTCTTTAATTTCTTGTAAAGGAACAAGTATTTGGCAGTGAAGCTCCGCCCCCTTGATTCACGGGGAATAAAAAAATCATCACAATTGAGACAGGGTGGGTGGGCGGGCTTACTTTTTGCCTTTTTATTTTAATATGTGTAGACTTCTTTTCACAACATGAAACTTAAAACATGTTTCAAATGAAAAATTCGTATAAGGAAATATTGATTTTGCAATTAGGCTCCGCCGGAGAATTCCAAAATCCATATTTCCTTGCAAAAATGTACCATTTTAACCATGTTTTAAGTTTCTTGTTGTGAAAAGATGGCTATGTATGTTACGAAAAAAAGGCAAAATATAAGCCCCACCCACCCGCCCTATCTCATTTCTGATGATTTTTTTATTCGTCGTTAAGTCAAGGGGGCGGAGCTTAAATGCAAAATCCTTATTTCTTTGCAAGAAGTAAAAAACATGTTTCTGATTATCGTGCTGTTCAAAGAATACTGTGTATACTAAGAAAAAAACAACCCAAAAATTAACCCCCATCCATCCCAAGCACAATTGTGATGACCGAGAGGCGGAGCCTAATTGCAAAAGCGATACTTTCCTACAAAAATTGCTCGAAGATTACTTCTAGAGAACTTCCCTCGCCCATAAAGTACAGCTTGTCAAATCCAGCTTTTATGAAAAATTAAAAGATTTGATTTTGCGAATGTTATTGTTTTTTTATAGACAGTTGCATTGTAATACTAATAATAAAAGTATTGCATTATTGTAATTCTTGAATAGTGATTTATAATCAATTTTAATCACGTTTGCTGTATGTAATTACAGAGGAGCGACTGAAGACTAAACTGAAAATCATTTATGGTATTCGTAATTTAAGACAAATAGCGATAACACTTATCAACCTGTAGACGTGAGAGTGAAACAGAAACTAAACTAAAAGATGTTTTCTACGAATTGCAATAACCGGATTACAATGCCGACGGTCCAGACTTTTTTATTGCTCTGACTTCCACTTATTGAATAAACTACTACATTTAACTTTGATTTTCGATGTTGTAATTCACATTTGGTTAATTATAACTTGTCTAGATCTAGAGGAGGCTCAGCATCCCTTAGCCTCCTTCTAGCTACGGCCTTGTCTAGGAGTTTTGAAATATCAACAAAATATGAAAGTCCCAAATTGCCAATGGACTTCAATACTGTACGTCCTTAGGTTATCCTCGATAAGAAAAACAACTTAAAAGTGTTTAATGTTTATGTTTATACATCGGAAGAATGTCACGTAGAAATTAATTTGATTTCAATGAGTTCGTCCCCTCAAAACAGAGGATCAAGTAGTAAACTACAATCGACTAAATGTTCTGAATATCATTACCATAATTTTCATTAAATAAAGACGTTTGTATTTTCACATTTTCGGGAAAATGGGGTGACTCATTCTTAATTTGATCAATAAAAAACGAATTCAGTGATGAATCACAAGTAAAAACTCATCATATTTTGCACATCTTGGGTAGAATTTATTCGGCAAAATTTTAAGCCAACGTCATCAATTTTTTGAAGGGAAAAACAGATTTATTTTGATTAACAATTTACCATGCTTACAATGACGTCAAAACATCTCCAAAATTTCAAGGCATTCAATTTTGTAGTTCCTCATTAAATCAATAAAATAAGCTCAAGCATTAACTAATTTGTGTGAGTCACCCTGTACCATAGGGATCATGGAAGGTCGAGAAAACGTAAAAGTAGAACATCGCTTGCAAAATTTTAGAATGACGTCAACGAGTTGTTGGTGTACGACCATCATTTTGGTTTTAAAATATTTTAGAGAACAAAAAAATTATAATTTTTGTGTTTTTTACACCATTGTAGGATAAGGAAGGGTTGAAATAATAATTCTCGGTGTCACAAATATAAAATTTTATTGGAAGTAAATTACATGTATTTCTTAAAAATGTCTGCTATCTTTTATCAATAAAAAAAGAATCTTGTTAGCAATATACTAAAAAAATTATTTTAAAGAAAAAAATTTCTACAAACTACGAACAAAAAAACCATAAAGTAGTGAACATCGAAAATATAAATTATTTACTACTCAATTTTTTCAGTTGTTCAACAAACCCATCATTTGGCCTAATACAACTCCTGGACTTCTTTACAATTTGATACGCATTACAGTAGTTATAACCACAAACTAAAATTAAGTAACCTATCATAACCGAGGCTGACCTACTGACTCCCGCATTACAATGCACCAAAACGTTACTCTGCCGCTGTACGGCGTCTTGAATAAAACAAACACTCTCCTTCAAAACGTCGAGTAAGTTGGTCTGGGGTAAATCCAAGCACTGAACGAATCTGTAAGCGATTTTTTCACATTTAGATGGGGCGTCCACACCGACACTCAGCACGTTGTTGATATCGAAACGACCGAGTACTTGCGGGTCGCAACAATCCTGCGAGCCCAAGTAGACGTAATCGACGATTTTAGCGGGGACGTTGTCGGGTTTTGCGTCGACGATGAAACCGAATTGCGTTCTGGGGATCTCCACAAGAGCGTCCGGCCCCGACTCTTCGAACTTTCTGCCGTCCAAGTAGGTTAACGTGGTGGTGGTTGGTTTCAAACAGTGCCGTTTGGTGCGTAATTCGTTCAAGAAACTCATTATTAAAATTTACATCATGTGAGTGGAGTTAACCTCAGCAGTGCATTGTCTAGGAAGCGTCCAGAAATCGCGCGAAATAAAATCAAGATTAGCGAGTTATGTAAAGATAACCATACATAAATAATGTAAACGGGGACGTTGCTTCTTAGACAATGTTAATGACATTATATACAAAAGTCCTCAGTGCATTAACGCGTACGAACCAAGCTAATTTATTACATATTAAACAAAAAAATATAAAATATATCTGGTTATAAATGCTAAAATATAAGGCTAAAACTACAAACTTTTACTACAACTTGAATGTTTACTTAATGAAGGTGGGGCTATCTGGTTAGTTGGGCGATCCGGACCGACTCCTCGACTTGCTGCGTTCTTTGCTCGGCGAACGCGATCTCGACCGGGAGCGCTCCTTCGAAGCCTCCCTCGACTTGGATCTCTTCTGCGACCTAGATCTCGATCTAGATCTATCGACCGACTTCTTCCTCGAGTTACTTCTCGAGCGGTCGACCGACTTCTTCCGCGAGTTGGATCTGGATCGGGATTTACTGTTTTGTTTGGGGCTGGCAGACCTCGACTTGCTCTTGGATCTGGAACTTCGTCTCGAGCGGTTTCGGGACCTGGACCGTCTCTGGGATCTACTGCGGGAGCGACTACGGCTGCTGTACGAGCCTGAGCGTCTACTGCGCTTTTTGTCCTCGATCAAGCGGATGCGCCTACCGTTCAGCTCGGTATCGTCGAGCTTTTCAATGGCGTTTTTGAGGTCAGAGTACGAGGCGAACTCGACGACGCCCTCGTTACGGTGCTGTTTATGGGCGTCCGCGTAGGTGACTTCGACTAAACGAAATCAAATGGCATCAGTGCCCACACTGCACATCCAAATTCAAAGAAAAAGGAACTTTAAAACTTCACGTCATAGCAAAACATCTACCGGAAGACGAAATTCGTTGGTTAAAATATGACCAGTGCCCATCCAGATTCAAACAAAAATACCGCTTGAAATACCACGTCGACACCGTCCACGTCCTAGAGGACCAAATCCAGTGGGTCAAGTGTGACCAATGCACGTCCAAATTCAAACACAAGAGTTATTTAAGAGACCACATTATAATGAAACACCTACCGGAGCAAAAAATTCGCTGGTACAACTGTGACCAGTGCGCGGCCAAGTTCAAACTGAAGTACCTTCTGCGGAGACATTTCAGCGCGAAGCACTTACCAGAAGAAGAAATTCAGTGGTTCCACTGTGAACAGTGCTCAGCTAAATTCAAGTGCAAATCCAACTTAACGAGTCACTTTCGAGCGAAACATTTAGCGGAAGACAAAATTCGATGGTTCCAATGTGAACAATGCGTGTTCAGAAGCAAGGAAAAACGACACTTGCAGTACCACATTTCCGAGAGACATCTGCCAGAGGACGAAATCGAGTGGTTACAGTGTGAACAGTGCACGTCTCGGTTCAAGAGGAGGTCGAATTTGAAAATGCACGTTAAAGCTAAGCATGTACCGGACAGCGAAATTGTGTGGGAGCTGTGTGACCAGTGTCCGGCCAGGTTCATGCAGAAGAGGTCGCTGAAGCAGCACGTGGTATCGAAACATTTGTTAAAAACTAAGGACTAATTATTGTAAAAATGTTTTAAAAAATAAAGTTTTGGAAAATTGTGCCTTTCACGCGACGTCAAGGGTTTGTAGAAGAAAAGTGGAGGATTTACGTTGATTGCCATAAAAATGTACTATTTTAGACATGTTTTAAGTTTCTTGTTTGGCGAAATAAGTCTACACATATTAAGAAAACAAGGAAAAACGTAAGCCCGCCCACCCGCCCTATCCCAATTGTGATGATTTTTTTTATTCATCGTGAGCCAAGAGGGCGGAGCTTAACTGCAAATTCCTTATTTCTCTTCAAGAAATTAAAAACATGTTTTTGAGTATCATATAGTTCAAAGAATACTGTGTATATTACGAAAAAAATAAAGCCAAAGATTAGGCCCCACCCATACCCGCCCCGAACTCAATTCTCAATTGTGATGAATTTTTCATTCGTTGTCACGTCGAGGGGCGGTGCTTAATTGCAAGATCCATATTTGCCTATAAGAATTTACCACTTTAAACATGTTTTAAGTTTCTTGTTCTGAAAAGACGACTACGTATATTAAGAACAACGACAAAATATAAGCCCCGCCCACCCACCCTGTCTCAATTGTTATAATTTTTTTATGGTCGAGAGCCAAAGAAGCGGAATTTAATTGCCAATTTCTTATTATTTCTCTAGAAGAAATTACCATGTAAGACCTGCTCTAAATAGCATTGAAGTTTTCATTCGTTGGCAAATCTAGGGGCGGAGCCTAATGTAAAATCCATAATTTCTTACAAAAATTTACCATTTTAAACTTGTTTTAAGTTTTTAACAATAAAAAAATCATTACAATTGGGATGGGGTGGGTGGGCGGGGTTTATATTTTGTATTTTTTTTCTTAATATACATAGTATTATTTGAACAACACGATACTCAAACACATGTTTTTCATTTCTTGTAAAGAAATAAGTATTTTGATGTTAAACTCCGCCCTTTTGATTCACGGCGAATAAACAAATCATCAGAAATGAGATAGGGTGGGTGGGCGGGGCTTATATATTGCCTTTTTTTGTTTTAATATGTGTAGACTTCTTTTCCCAAAATGAAACTTAAAACATGTTTAAAATGGAAAATTTGTATAAGGAAATATCGATTTTGCAATTAGGCTCCGCCCCATATTTCTTTGCAAAAATCTACCATTTTAACAATGTTTTCAGTTTCTTGTTGTGACAAGATGGCTATGTATATTAAGAAAAAAAAGGCAAAATATAAGCCCCGCCCACCCGCCCTGTCTCAATTGTGATGATTTTTTTTTTATAGTTGAGAGTCAAAGTAGCGGAATTTAACTGCAAAATTCGTATTATTTCGCCACAAGAAATTACCAAGTAAGACTTGTTTTCGAGTATCGTGTTATTCAAAGAATACTATAGGTATGTGTATTAAGAAAAAAATAATTAAAGCCAAAGATTAAGTCCCACCCATACCTGCCCTGATCTAAATACTAATGAAGTTTTCATTCGTTGGCAGACCTAGGGGCGGAGCTTCATTGTAAAAAATCATCACAATTGAGACAGGGTGGGTGGGCGGGGTTTATATTTTGTATTTTTTTTCTTAATATACATAGTATTGTTTGAACAACACGATACTCAAACACATGTATTTCATTTCTTACAAAAAATAAGTATTTTGCAGTTAAGCTCCGCCCTCTTGGCTCACAACGAATAAAAATAATCATCACAATTGGGATGGGGTGGGTGGGCGGGGTTTATATTTGGCCTTTTTTTCTTAATATACACAGTATTCTTTGAACAACACGATACTCAAAAACATGCTTTTAATTTCTTGTAAAGAAATAAGTATTTGGCAGTGAAGCTCCGCCCTCTTGATTCACGGCGAATAAAAAAATCATCAGAATTGAGACAGGATGGGTGGGCGGGGCTTATATTTTGCTCTTTTGTTTTAATATGTGTAGACTTTTTTTCACAACATGAAACTTAAAACATGTTTCAAATGGAAAATTTGTATAAGGAAATATTGATTTTGCAAGTAGGCTCCGCCCCATTATATTTCCTTGCCAAAATATACTATTTTAACCATGTTTTAAGTTTCTTGTTGTGAAAATATGGCTATGTATGTTAAGAAAAAAAAAGACAAAACATAAGTCCCACCCATCCACCCGATCTCAATTCTGATAATTTTTGTTTTGATTCGTCATAATCCGAGGGGCGGCGTTTAATTGTAAAATACTTACATATTTTTCTACGAGAAATTACAATGTGAAATATGTTCTTAAGTTATTATACAAAGAAAACTAAATGTATTACTCCTAATTAAAAAGAAAACCAAAAGAGAAGCCATTCGTCTCGATCTCAATCGTAATGTATTTTTCAATCATTGTCAGGCAGAGGGGCGGAGCTTAATTGCAAAATTCATATTTCCTTACAAAAATTTACCATTTTTAACTCGTTTTAAGTTTCTAAGAATAAAAAAAAAATCATTACAATTGGGATGGAGTGGGTGGGCGGGGTTTACATTTTGTATTTTTTTCTTAATATACATAGTAGTATTTGAACAACACGATACTCACACACATGTTTTTCACTTCTTGTAAAGAAATAAGTATTTTGCAGTTAAACTCCACCCTCTTGGTTCATGGCGAATAAAAAAATCATCAGAATTGAGATAGGGTGGGTGGGCGGGGCTTATATTTTGCCTTTTTTGTTTTAATATGTGTAGACTTCTTTTCACCACATAAAACTTGAAACATGTTTAAAATGGAAAATTTGTATAAGGAAATATCGATTTTGCAATTATGCTCCCCCCTATATTTCTTTGCAAAAATGTACCATTTTAAACATGTTTTAAGTTTCTTGTACTGAAAACACGACTACGTATATTAAGAAAAAAGGCAAAATATAAACCCCGCCCACCCGCCCTGCCTCAATTGTGATGATTTTTTTATTCGTCGTAGGCCGAGGGGTGGAGCTTTATTATAAAATCTGTATTTTTCTACGAGAAATTAATATGTCATTTTCAAAATCAGTCATATCTAACTGCAAGGAACTAGCCCCGCCCACCCACCCTCTATTTTTTAAATAGTAAATCATTTGCCAAAATTATTCTTATCTTAGCAAGTACTAGCTCCACCTCCCGCCCTTTATTTACTTGGAGGATATGTTATTTTCCAAATCAGTCATATCTTAGAAAGTGATCAACTATAACATTTTGCACATTTTAGATAGGATTTACTGATCATAAATATGACGTGACGTCATCAAGTTTTTGGAAGGGATAAATAAATACATTATGAGTGGCGATCGACCATATCTCCATATTTAATATTATCTATTATCTTATTTAATAATTATTATATTAATACATATTTCAATTTTTGTAACCGACGTAAATTTAAAAAAGATTTTTCGATTTTTCAGTTTTTCAACATTTCTATTTTTTCAATTTTTCCAAACTTTAAATTTTAGATTTTTCAATTTTCTGAGCAATTTTTGATTTTCGATTTTCAATTTTTCGATTTTAAAATTTTTCGATTTTTCGTTTTGTAAATTTTTCGATGTTTCAGTTTTTCAATTTTTCAATTTCTCGATCTTTCGATGTTTCGTTTCTTGATGTTTCAGTTTTTCGATGTTTCAATTTCTCCGGTTTTCGATTTTTCGGATTTTCGATATTTCAGTTTTTCAGTGTTCCAATTTTTCGATTTCCCCTCAATTTTTCATCATTTCAAATTTGGAATTTTTCAACTTCTCGATTTTTCCATTTTCGACTTTTCGATCTTTTAATTTTAAATTTTTCACTTTTTCGATTTTTTGATGTGTCGAGTTCTCGATTTTTCAATTTTTTAGTATTTTAATTTATCAATTTTTTACCGAGGGGCGGAGCCTAATTGCAAGAGCAATACTTTCCTACAAAATTGGTCGAAGATTACTTCGACAGAACTTCCCTCGCCCATAAAGTACAGCTTGTCAAATCCAGCTCTTTCGAAAAATTAAAAGATTTGATTTTGCGAATTTTATTGTTTTTTATAGATAGTTGCATTGTAATACTAATAATAAAAGTATTGTATTATTGTTATTCTTGAATAGTGATTTATAATCAATAAAATAACGAAACGGATTACAATGGCGACGGTCCAGACTTTTTTATTGCTCTGACTTCCACTTATTGAATAAAAGACTACATTTAACTTTGATTTTCGATGTTGTAATTCACATTTGGTTAATTATAACTTGTCTAGATATAGAGGAGGCTCAGCATCCCTTGGCCTCCTTCTAGCTACGGCCTTGTCTAGAGGTTTTGAAATATCAACAAAAGATGAAAGTACAAAATTGCCAATGGACTCCATTTCTGTACGTCCTTAGGTTATTCTTGATAAGAAAAACAACTTAAAAGTGTTTAATGTTTATGTTTATACATCGGAAGAATGTAACGTAGAAATTAATTTGATTTTAATGAGTTCGTCCCCTCAAAACTAGTAAGCTACAATCGACTAAGTGTTCTGAATATCATTACCATAATTTTTATTAAATAAAGACATTTGTATTTTCACATTTTCGGGAAAATGGGGTGACTCATTCTTAATTTGATTAATAAAAAACGAATTCAGTGATGAATCACAAGTAAAAACTTTTATATTTTGCACATTTTGGGTAGAATTTAATCGGCAAAATTTTGAGCCAACGTCATCAATTTTTTGGGGGGGAATAAACAGATTTATTTTGATTAACAATTTGCCATGCTTACAATGACTTCAAAACATCTCGCAAGATTTCAAGGCATTCGATTTTGTAGTTCTTGACTAAATCAAGAAAATAAACTCAAACACTGATTAATTTGTTTGAATCACGGTGTATATGCAAATCCAAAAAATTTGAATACTTATTTCTTCGTACTATAGGGGTCACGGAAGGTCGAGAAAACGTAAAAGTGGAACAACGCTTACAAAATTTTAGAATGACGTCAACGAGTTGTTGGTGTACGACCATCATTTTGGTCTTAAAATATTTTAGAGAACAAAAAATTATAATTTTTGTGTTTTTTTAACATCATAGTAGGATAAGGAAAGGAAGGGTTGAAATAATAATACTCGGTGTCACAAATATAAAATTTTATTGGAAGTAAATTACATGTATTTCTTAAAAATGTCTGCTATCTTTTATCAATAAAAAAAGAATCTTGTTAGCAATATACTAAAAAAATTATTTTAAAGAAAAAAATTTCTACAAACTACGAACAAAAAAACCATAAAGTAGTGAACATCGAAAATATAAATTATTTACTACTCAATTTTTTCAGTTGTTCAACAAACCCATCATTTGGCCTAATACAACTCCTGGACTTCTTTACAATTTGATACGCATTACAGTAGTTATAACCACAAACTAAAATTAAGTAACCTATCATAACCGAGGCTGACCTACTGACTCCCGCATTACAATGCACCAAAACGTTACTCTGCCGCTATACGGCGTCTTGAATAAAACAAACACTCTCCTTCAAAACGTCGAGTAAGTTGGTCTGGGGTAAATCCAAGCACTGAACGAATCTGTAAGCGATTTTTTCACATTTAGATGGGGCGTCCACACCGACACTCAGCACGTTGTTGATGTCGAAACGACCGAGTACTTGCGGGTCGCAACAATCCTGCGAACCCAAGTACACGTAATCGACGATTTTAGCGGGGACGTTGTCGGGTTTTGCGTCGACGATGAAACCGAATTGCGTTCTGGGGATTTCCACAAGAGCGTCCGGCCCTGATTCTTCGAACTTTCTGCCGTCCAAGTAGGTTAACGTGGTGGTGGTTGGTTTCAAACAGTGCCGTTTGGTGCGTAATTCGTTCAAGAAACTCATTATTAAAATTTACATCATGTGAGTGGAGTTAACCTCAGCAGTGCATTGTCTAGGAAGCGTCCAGAAATCGCGCGAAATAAAATCAAGATTAGCGAGTTATGTAAAGATAACCATACATAAATAATGTAAACGGGGACGTTGCTTCTTAGACAATGTTAATGACATTATATACAAAAGTCCTCAGTGCACTAACGCGTACGAACCAAGCTAATTTATTACATATTAAACAAAAAAATATAAAATATGTCTGGTTATAAATGCTAAAATATAAGGCTAAAACTACAAACTTTTACTACAACTTGAATGTTTACTTAATGAAGGTGGGGCTATCTGGTTAGTTGGGCGATCCGGACCGACTCCTCGACTTGCTGCGTTCTTTGCTCGGCGAACGCGATCTCGACCGGGAGCGCTCCTTCGAAGCCTCCCTCGACTTGGATCTCTTCTGCGACCTAGATCTCGATCTAGATCTATCGACCGACTTCTTCCTCGAGTTGCTCCTCGAGCGGTCGACCGACTTCTTCCGCGAGTTGGATCTGGATCGGGATTTACTGTTTTGTTTGGGGCTGGCAGACCTCGACTTGCTCTTGGATCTGGAACTTCGTCTCGAGCGGCTTCGGGACCTGGACCGTCTCTGGGATCTACTGCGGGAGCGACTACGGCTGCTGTACGAGCCTGAGCGTCTACTGCGCTTTTTGTCCTCGATCAAGCGGATGCGCCTACCGTTCAGCTCGGTATCGTCGAGCTTTTCAATGGCGTTTTTGAGGTCAGAGTACGAGGCGAACTCGACGACGCCATCGTTACGGTGCTGTTTATGGGCGTCCGCGTAGGTGACTTCGACTAAACGAAATCAAATGGCATCAGTGCCCACACTGCACATCCAAATTCAAAGAAAAAGGAACTTTAAAACTTCACGTCATAGCAAAACATCTACCGGAAGACGAAATTCGTTGGTTAAAATGTGACCAGTGCCCATCCAGATTCAAACAAAAATACCGCTTGAAATACCACGTCGACACCGTCCACGTCCTGGAGGACCAAATCCAGTGGGTCAAGTGTGACCAATGCACGTCCAAATTCAAACACAAGAGTTACTTAAGAGACCACATTATAATGAAACACCTACCGGAGCAAAAAATTCGCTGGTTCCAGTGTGACCAGTGCGCGGCCAAGTTCAAACTGAAGTACCTGCTGCGGAGACATTTCAGCGCGAAGCACTTACCAGAAGAGGAAATTCAGTGGTTCCACTGTGAACAGTGCTCAGCTAAATTCAAGTGCAAATCAAACTTGACGAGTCACTTTCGAGCGAAACACTTAGCGGAAGATAAAATTCGGTGGTTCCAATGTGAACAATGCGTGTTTAGAAGCAAGGAAAAACGACACTTGCAGTACCACATTTCCGAGAGACATTTGCCAGAGGACGAAATCGAGTGGTTACAGTGTGAACAGTGCACGTCTCGGTTTAAAAGGAGGTCGAATTTGAAAATGCACGTTAAAGCTAAGCATGTACCGGAGAGCGAAATTGTGTGGGAGCTGTGTGACCAGTGTCCGTCCAGGTTCAAGCAAAAGAGGTCGCTGAAGCAGCACGTCGTATCGAAACATTTGTTAAAAGCTAAAAACTAGTTGTACAAATGTTTTTTTTTATAAAAAAGAAATAAAGTTTTGGAAAATCGTGCCTTTGTACGCAACCCACAATACATTACGGTGCCTGCTAAATTTTAAAATGACGTCAAAAAAATGACGTCAAACTTTGCCGTATTTAAAAGGATTATAGAAGAAAAGTGGATGATTTACGTTGACCCTAAAAATTTACTATTTTAGACATGTTTTAAGTTTCTTGTTGTCGAAATAAGTCTACACATATTAAGAAAACAAAGAAAAATGTAAGCCCGCCCACCCATCCTATCTCAATTCTGATGATTTTTTTTATTCGTCGGAGCTTAACTGTAAAATCTATATTTCCTTACAAAAATTTACCATTTTAAACGTGATTAAGTTTCTCAGAATAAAAAAGATCATAACAATTGAGATGGGGTGGGTGGGCGGGGTTTATATTTTGGCTTTTTTTCTTAATATACGTAGTATTCTTTGAACAACCCGATACTCAAAAACATGTTTTAATTTCTTGTAAAGAAATGAGTGTTTTGCAGTTAAGATCCGCCTCCTTGGTTCACGGTGAATAAAAAAAAATCATCACAATTGAGATGGGGTGGGTGGGCGGGTTTATATTTTGTATTTTTTTTTTCTTAATTTACATCGTAATATTTGAACAACACGATACTCAAACACATGTTTTCCATTTCTTGTAAAGAAATAAGTATTTTGATGTTAAACTCCGCCCTCTTGATTCACGGCGAATAAAAAAATCATCAGAATTGAGACAGGGTGGGTGAGCTGGGCTTATATTTTGCCTTTTTTGTTTTAATATGTGTAGACTTCTTTTCCCAAAATGAAACTTACAACATGTTTAAAATGGAAAATTTGTATAACGAAATATCGATTTTGCAATTAGGCTCCGCCCCATATTTCTTTGCAAAAATGTACCATTTTAACAATGTTTTCAGTTTCTTGTTGTGACAAGATGGCTATGTATATTAAGAAAAAAAAAGGCAAAATATAAGCCCCGCCCACCCGCCCTGTCTCAATTGTGATGATTTTTTTTATAGTTGAGAGTCAAAGTAGTGGAATTTAACTGCAAAGTTCTTATTATTTCGCCACAAGAAATTACCAAGTAAGACTTGTTTTTGAGTATTGTGTTATTCAAAGAATACTATACGTATGTGTATTAAGAAAAAATTAAAGCCAAAGATTAAGCCCCACCCATACCTGCCCTGATCTAAATACTAATGAAGTTTTTATTCGTTAGCAGACCTAGGGGCGGAGCTTCATTGTAAAAAATCATCACAATTGAGACAGGGTGGGTGGGCGGGGTTTACATTTTCTATTTTTTTGTCTTAATATACATAGTGTTGTTTGAACAACACGATACTCAAACACATGTATATCATTTCTTACAAAAAATAAGTATTTTGCAGTTAAGCTCCGCCCTCTTGGCTCACGACGAATAAAAATAATCATCACAATTGGGATGGGGTGGGTGGGCGGGGTTTATATTTGGCCTTTTTTTTTTCTTAATATACATATTGTTCTTTGAACAATCCGATACTCAAAAACATGATTTTAATTTCTTGTAAAGAAATAAGTATTTGGCAGTGAAGCTCCGCCCCCTTGATTTACGGCGAATAAAAAAATCATCAGAATTGAGACAGGGTGGGTGGGCGGGGCTTATATTTTACCTTTTTTGTTTTAATATGTGTAGACTTCTTTTCACAACATGAAACTTAAAACATGTTTAAAATGGAAAATTTGTATAAGGAAATATCGATTTTTGCAATTATGCTCCGCCCCATATTTCCTTGCAAAAATGTACCATTTTAAACATGTTTTAAGTTTCTTGTTCTAAAAACACGACTACATATATTAAGAAAAAAAACAAAATATAAGCCCCGCCCACCCGCCTTGTCTCAATTGTGATGATTTTTTATTATCATTGAGAGTCAAAGTAGCGAAATTTAATTGCAAAATTCTTGTTATTTCGCTACAAGAAATTAGTATGTAAGACTTGTTTTTGAGTACCTATCATGTTATTCAAAGAATACTATGTACATATGTATATTAAGAAAAAATTAAAAGCAAAGATTAAATTTGTATAAGGGAATATTGATTTTGCAAATAGGCTCCGCCCCATTATATTTCCTTGCCAAAATATACTATTTTAACAATGTTTTAAGTTTCTTGTTGTGAAAATGGCTATGTGTGTTATGAAAAAAAAGACAAAACATAAGCTTCACCCACCCACCCTATCTCAATTTTCATAATTTTTTTTGATTGGTCGCAATCCGAAGGGCGGCGCTTAATTGTAAAATACTTATATATTTTTCTACGAGAAATTACCATGTGAAATATCTTCTTAAGTTATTATACAAAGAAAACTAAATGTATTACTCCTAATTAAAAAGAAAACCAAAAAAGAAGCCCCACCCATTCGTCTCGATCTCAATCGTAATGTATTTTTCATTCATTGTCAGGCAGAGGGGCGGAGCTTAATTGCAAAATTCATATTTCCTTAAAAAAAATTACCATTTTTAACTTGTTTTAAGTTTCTAAGAATGAAACAAATCATTACAATTGGGATGGGGTGGGTGGGCGGGGTTTATGTTTTGTCTTTTTTTCTTAATATACATAGTATTATTTGAACAACACGATACTCAAACACATGTTTTTCATTTCTCGTAAAGAAATAAGTATTTTGCATTTAAGCTCCGCCCCCTTGGCTTAACGACGAATAAAAAAATCATCAGAATTGAGATAGGGTGGGTGGGCGGGGCTTACATTTTGCTTCTTCTCTCTTAACATACATAGCCATCTTTTCACAACAAGAAACTTAAAACATGTTTAAAATTGAAAATTTGTATAAGGAAATATCGATTTCGCAATTATGCTCCGCCCCATATTTTCTTGCAAAAATGTACCATTTTAAACATGTTTTAAGTTTCTTGTTCTGAAAACACGACTACTTACGTATATTAAGAAAAACGGCAAAATATAAGCCCCGCCCACCCACCCTGTCTCAATTGTGATGATTTTTTTTATCGTCGAGAGTCAAAGTAGCGGAATATAATTGCAAAATTCTTATTATTTCGCTACAAGAAATTACCATGTAAGACTTGTTTTTGAGTACCTATCATGTTATTCAAAGAATACTATGTACATATATTAAGAAAAAATTAAAAGCAAAGATTAAGCCCCACCCATACCTGCCCTGATCTAAATACTAATGAAGATTGCATTCGTTGGCAGACGTAGGGGCGGAGTTTCATTGTAAAATCCATAATTTCTTACAAAAATTGACCAATTCGAACGTGTTTTAAATTTCTAAGAATAAAAAAAAATCATCACAAATGAGATGGGTGGGTGGGTGGGGTTCATATTTTGTATTTTTTTTCTTAATATACATAGTATTGTTTGAACAACACAATACACAAACACATGTTTTTCATTTCTTACAAAAAATAAGTATTTTGCAGTTAAGCTCCGCCCTCTTGGCTCACGACGAATAAAAATAATCATCACAATTGGGAAGGGGTGGGTGGGTGGGGTTTATATTTAGTGTTTTTTTCTTAATATACATAATATTGTTTGAACAACACAATACTCAAACACATGTTTTTCATTTCTTACAAAAAATAAGTATTTTGCAGTTAAGCTCCGCCCCCTTGATTCACGGCGAATAAAAAAGTCATCAGAATTGAGACAGGGTGGGTGGGCGGGGCTTATATTTTGCCTTTTTTGTTTTAATATGTGTAGACTTCTTTCCCCAAAGTGAAACTTAAAACATTCTTAAAATGGAAAATTTGTATAACGAAATATCGATTTTGTAATTAGGCTCCGCCCCATATTTTTCTGCAAAGATGTACCATTTTAACAATGTTTTCAGTGTCTTGTTGTGACAAGATGGCTATGTATATTAAGAAAAAAAAAAGGCAAAATATAAGCCCCGTCCACCCGCCCTATCGCAATTCTGATAATTTTTTTTTATCATCGAGAGTCAAAGTAGTGGAATTTAATTGCAAAATTCTTATTATTTCGCTACAAGAAGGTACCATGTAAGATTTATTTTTAATTACCTATTATTGAAAGAATACTATGTACATATATTAAGAAAGAATTAAAACCAAGGATTAAGCCTCACCCATACCTGCCCTGATCTGAATACTAATGAAGTTTACATTCGTTGCCAGACGTAGGGGCGGAGCTTCATTGTAAAACCCATATTTTCTTACAAAAATTTACCATTTTAAACTTGTTTTAAGTTTCTAAGAATTAAAAAATCATCACAATTGAGATGGGGTGGATGGGCGGGTTTATATTTTGCTTTTTTTTTCTTATTATACATAGTATTCTTTGAACAATAGGATACTCAAACACATGTTTTTCATTTCTTACAAAAAATAAGTATTTTGCAGTTACGCTCCGGCCTCTTGGCTCACGACGAATAAAAATAATCATCACAATTGGGATGGGGTGGGTGGGCGGGGTTTATATTTGGCCCTATTTCTTAATATACATAGTATTCTTTCAACAACACGATACTCAAACACATGTTTTTCATTTCTTGTAAAGAAATAACTATTTTGCAGTTAAACTCCACCCTCTTGGTTCACGGCGAATAAAAAAATCATCAGAATTGAGACAGGATGGGTGGACGGGGCTTATATTTTGCCTTTTTTCTTTAATATGTGTAGACTTCTTTTCACAACATGAAACTTAAAACATGTTTAAAATGGAAAATTTGTATAAGGAAATATCGATTTTGCAATTATGCTCCGCCCCATATTTCTTTGCAAAAATGTACCATTTTAAACATGTTTTAAGTTTCTTGTTCTGAAAACACGACTACGTATATTAAGAAAAAAGGCAAAATATAAACCCCGCCCACCCGCCCTGCCTCAATTGTGATGATTTTTTTATTCGTCGTAAGCCGAGGGGTGGAGCTTATTATAAAATCTGTATTTTTCTACGAGAAATTAATGTCATTTTCCAAATCAGTCATATCTGACTGCAAGCAACTAGCCCCGCCCGCCCACCCGCCCTCTATTTTTTAAAATCAGGCTTATCTTAGCAAGTACTAGTTCCACCTCCCGCCCTTTATTTACTTAGAGGATATGTTATTTTCCAAATCAGTCATATCTTAGAAAGTGATAAACTATAACATTTTTTGCACATTTTAGATAGGACTTACTGAGCATAAATATGACGTGACGTCATCAAGTTTTTGAAAGGGATAAATAAATACATTATGAGTAGCGATTGACCATGTCTCCATATTTATAATTATCTACTATCTTATTTAATAATTATTATGTTAATCCATATTTCAATTTTTGGAACCGACGTAAATTAAAAAAAAAAATTTCGATTTTTCAGTTTTTCAACATTTCTATTTTTTCAAATTTTCCAAGCTTTAAATTTTAGATTTTTCAATTTTCTGAGCAATTTTTGATTTTCAATTTTAAATTTTTCGATTTTTGATTTTAAAATTTTTCGCTGTTTCAGTTTTTCAATTTTTCCATTTCTCGCTCTTTCGATGTTTCAATTTCTCCGGTTTTCGATTTTTCGGATTTTCGATATTTCAGTTTTTCAGTGTTCCAATTTTTCGATTTCCCCTCAATTTTTCATCATTTCAGATTTGGAATTTTTCAACTTCTCGATTTTTCAGTTTTTCGATTTTTCCATTTTCGACTTTTCGATCTTTTAATTTTAGATTTTACACTTTTTCGATTTTTTGATGTGTCGAGTTCTCGATTTTTCAATTTTTTAGTATTTTAATTTATCAATTTTTTACCGTGGGGCGGAGCCTAATTGCAAAAGCAACATTTTCCTACAAAAACTGGTCGAAGATTACTTCGACAGAACTTCCCTCGCCCATAAAGTACAGCTTGTCAAATCCAGCTCTTTCGAAAAATTAAAAGATTTGATTTTGCGAATTTTATTGTTTTTTATAGATAGTTGCATTGTAATACTAATAATAAAAGTATTGTATTATTGTTATTCTTGAATAGTGATTTATAATCAATAAAATAACGAAACGGATTACAATGGCGACGGTCCAGACTTTTTTATTGCTCTGACTTCCACTTATTGAATAAAAGACTACATTTAACTTTGATTTTCGATGTTGTAATTCACATTTGGTTAATTATAACTTGTCTAGATCTAGAGGAGGCTCAGCATCCCTTGGCCTCCTTCTAGCTACGGCCTTGTCTAGAGGTTTTGAAATATCAACAAAAGATGAAAGTACAAAATTGCCAATGGACTCCATTAGTGTACGTCCTTAGGTTATCCTCGATAAGAAAAACAACTTAAAAGTGTTTAATGTTTATGTTTATACATCGGAAGAATGTCACGTAGAAATTAATTTGATTTTAATGAGTTCGTCCCCTCAAAACTAGTAAGCTACAATCGACTAAGTGTTCTGAATATCATTACCATAATTTTTATTAAATAAAGAGTGACTCATTCTCAATTTGATCAATAAAAAACGAATTCAGTGATGAATCACAAGTAAAAACTCATCATATTTTGCACATCTTGAAGGGGAAAAACAGATTTATTTTGATTAACAATTTACCATGCTTACAATGACGTCAAAACATCTCCAAGATTTCAAGGCATTCAATTTTGTAGTTCCTCATTAAATCAATAAAATAAACTCAAGCATTAACTAATTTGTGTGAGCCACCCTGTACCATAGGGGTCATGGAAGGTCGAGAAAACGTAAAAGTAGAACATCGTTTGCAAAATTTTAGAATGACGTCAACGAGTTGTTGGTGTACGACCATCATTTTGGTCTTAAAATATTTTAGAGAACAAAAAATTATAATTTTTGTGTTTTTTTAACATCATAGTAGGATAAGGAAAGGAAGGATTGAAATAATAATACTCGGTGTCACAAATATAAAATTTTATTGGAAGTAAATTACATGTATTTCTTAAAAATGTCTGCTATCTTTTATCAATAAAAAAAGAATCTTGTTAGCAATATACTAAAAAAATTATTTTAAAGAAAAAAATTTCTACAAACTACGAACAAAAAAACCATAAAGTAGTGAACATCGAAAATATAAATTATTTACTACTCAATTTTTTCAGTTGTTCAACAAACCCATCATTTGGCCTAATACAACTCCTGGACTTCTTTACAATTTGATACGCATTACAGTAGTTATAACCACAAACTAAAATTAAGTAACCTATCATAACCGAGGCTGACCTACTGACTCCCGCATTACAATGCACCAAAACGTTACTCTGCCGCTGTACGGCGTCTTGAATAAAACAAACACTCTCCTTCAAAACGTCGAGTAAGTTGGTCTGGGGTAAATCCAAGCACTGAACGAATCTGTAAGCGATTTTTTCACATTTAGATGGGGCGTCCACACCGACACTCAGCACGTTATTGATATCGAAACGACCGAGTACTTGCGGGTCGCAACAATCCTGCGAGCCCAAGTAGACGTAATCGACGATTTTAGCGGGGACGTTGTCGGGTTTTGCGTCGACGATGAAACCGAATTGCGTTCTGGGGATCTCCACAAGAGCGTCCGGCCCCGATTCTTCGAACTTTCTGCCGTCCAAGTAGGTTAACGTGGTGGTGGTTGGTTTCAAACAGTGCCGTTTGGTGCGTAATTCGTTCAAGAAACTCATTATTAAAATTTACATCATGTGAGTGGAGTTAACCTCAGCAGTGCATTGTCTAGGAAGCGTCCAGAAATCGCGCGAAATAAAATCAAGATTAGCGAGTTATGTAAAGATAACCATACATAAATAATGTAAACGGGGACGTTGCTTCTTAGACAATGTTAATGACATTATATACAAAAGTCCTCAGTGCACTAACGCGTACGAACCAAGCTAATTTATTACATATTAAACAAAAAAATATAAAATATGTCTGGTTATAAATGCTAAAATATAAGGCTAAAACTACAAACTTTTACTACAACTTGAATGTTTACTTAATGAAGGTGGGGCTATCTGGTTAGTTGGGCGATCCGGACCGACTCCTCGACTTGCTGCGTTCTTTGCTCGGCGAACGCGATCTCGACCGGGAGCGCTCCTTCGAAGCCTCCCTCGACTTGGATCTCTTCTGCGACCTAGATCTCGATCTAGATCTATCGACCGACTTCTTCCTCGAGTTGCTTCTCGAGCGGTCGACCGACTTCTTCCGCGAGTTGGATCTGGATCGGGATTTACTGTTTTGTTTGGGGCTGGCAGACCTCGACTTGCTCTTGGATCTGGAACTTCGTCTCGAGCGGCTTCGGGACCTGGACCGTCTCTGGGATCTACTGCGGGAGCGACTACGGCTGCTGTACGAGCCTGAGCGTCTACTGCGCTTTTTGTCCTCGATCAAGCGGATGCGCCTACCGTTCAGCTCGGTATCGTCGAGCTTTTCAATGGCGTTTTTGAGGTCAGAGTACGAGGCGAACTCGACGACGCCCTCGTTACGGTGCTGCTTATGGGCGTCCGCGTAGGTGACTTCGCCGGCTTGGCGCATATAATCTTTCAAGTCTTGCCAGCTAATGCGCGACGAGAGATTTTCCACGATAAGCCGGTAATTGGTTCTGGTGGGGGGCCCATAGCGTTCATGGGAGCGGTGGTCGCTGCGGCTGGACCATTGGTCTCGACCTCGGGGTGTCCCTCGGGCCCGTTCGACAGTCACACGCTCCCCTAAAAGTTTTTTACCGTTTAATTCATATACAGCATCGTCTGCATCGCGATAATCATCAAATTCAACAAACCCGTAGCCGTTTTTGATGAGCACGTCCCGCATTCTGCCGTAGCCCCTGAAAAATCGCTCTAAGTCCCGCTCGGTGGTCCCGTACGGCAAACCGCCGACGTACACTCGTGACCCTACCATGTTACCGACTACGAGTCCAAACTGTCCCTAAATGCTGCCCTGTCGCGTTTAGAGTACTCCACTTCGCACAGATAAAGCCCGTGTGCTGGCACTGTTTTTATTTTGTCGTTCCAACTGCGATGCGACGGCACTTCGAGCATCAACTTAATATCACTACTCGAGACTTTACCTTGAGCTACTGCTATCAGCGATGCTACCATACGCCGGACCTGGTGAAAGAAAAACACCGCGTTTACAACTTATACCTTCATTTGCATCATCTACGGGCTGTGCTTGGAAGCCATTTTGGTACGTTTCCCTCCAAGTCGCCGGCCAGTTTTAAGGTTATGAAACGTGTCCCACGTAAAACAACCAATTTTACAACACGAGACGCATACTCACGACTAGAACAACAAATACGATATTTACTTGCTTGGGGCGCAGCTTCTCGGCCAAAACTCTCTTCGACAACACAAATTCTACTGAAATTCGACGCCGAAACGACGAAGATCAAAGTCTGCGGATATTACGAAAATTCTAGAGAGAAAAAGAGCTGCCAACCTGACGCCAACAACGAACTCGAAATTTAGGGCGTTCTCCACCACGAAAAACAGTCACAGCATCACCACGAAAACCACAAACTTACAAAATTTCATCAAAAATATTAATCACGCAGTAACGACCCTCGCAGACGCGAAAATCAAACGAATCGAAAAAAGTAGCGTCACCTAATTATCGCGTCAGGTTGCCGGACTGTGTCGCGCGTGGCGCGCCATTCAAAAACGCCAAAAGAGGGGATAACGGATTTTCACCACACAGATAAGCCCCTAATTTATCAAAATCGAAATTGCGGTTACTCACTTGACGATAAAGAAAACCAGTGGCTTGCACGTAAACGTCGTAAAACTTGTAATCCTGGCAAGTGCCGGGCATAACCGAAGGCCAACTATATGGTCCATAAAGCAACGACTTTCCATCAAGCACTTCAGCCCGATGGACCAATCGTCGCGTCATTTTATGCAATTCGTGCGACCCACGACCCATAAAAGTCCGAAAATCGTGCAAACCTTCGAACAATTTCGCATTTAGCTTGAATTTTTCGCCATCAAAAGTATCAGTACTGCAAATGTAGCGTCATTACTAAATTGACCAAATTTTACTCTTTACCAAAGAAAGTGGCATCTTTGAAGCTCCTCAATTGGTAAAAGGTGCAAATGGGGGGCTAGGTTTAGCGCGTTCGCGTTTATAACCCCCAGGCGGTAGAGATAAGTCCGTGAAACCGCCTTGTGTTGGCAGTGGAAATCATTAGGAACTATGAAAGTTTTTAATATTCTTATTGGGACTTCATGTTTCTTGAAATACTTATTTAAACATAGCGTTATTGTTCGGGGTTCGTAGTGAAGTCCATTGGCACGGAACAGATCCACGTGGCACGTGGTATTTAAAGCGTGGACACCTGAGTCGGTTCTGGAAAAAATGAACTTAAAAAGTTTGTGGGGGCAAAGTTGACCATTTACCGACTAGAGAGAGCAATTATGGGCTCATTACACGAATTTAGTTGTTTTAAAGCAATTTCTAGTTGTCCTTGGACGGTCGAGGGGTCGTCTTTTCGTGGAAAAGTCCCAACCACCTGGCGTTGGGCCCCACTAAAACCGTCTTTGTGATTGGGCGCAAAATAAACCACACTACTTACTGAAAATTGGTGCCAATGTATGAAACGTGCAACAAGTAGCGATTAAGTGCCATTGCGAATAATATAACGCGGTTTTTATTATTTTGCGCAAAAAGTTAGGTTAGAAATTTTGAGGTTAGAATTGATACTTGCTCCAGTTATAAGAAAACAAGTTGCGAAACTATTTATTAAATGTGGTAAATTACATATACTTATTCTAGAGATTCTTAAAATAACATTAATCGCTATCAGAATTCGCTCCACTGGAAACAGCTGAACTTTCCTCGCTTTCAGACTTCTTCTTAGTTTTCTGCTTTTTGCGGTCGCCGTCGCTATCAGACCCCTTTCGCTTCTTCGGTTTATCGTCCTCATCATCGCTGCTGCTGTCATCATCCTCGATAAACTCCCTGCTCTTAATCTGGCTCTGTTTCACTGACGGCATTTTTGAAGAACTGGTGCTCTGTTTCTTCGGGGGCGCCTTCTTGCTCGACTTTTTGTCGTCGGATTTGCTCGCCCCGCCCGACGCTTCGTACTCCTTCATCGCCTTGTTGTACTCCTCCTTCGCTTTCGCCGCCTTCTCCTCCCATTCCGCCTTACTCTTCAACTCCTTCCACATCTCTCCCCCGATTTTCGCGATTTCGGTGACTTTCACCCCGGGATTGTCCGCCTTGATGCGCTCCCGCGTTTCGTTCAACCACAACATGAACGCCGTCGCCGGGCGTTTCGGTCTATTCTCGTCTTTATTTTTTTTCGTGCGCTTCTGACGCGGCTTCTCTGACACAGTCTTCGCCTTCTTTTCCTTCTTCTCCTTCTTTTCCTTTTTGTGTTTTTTCTTCTCTTTGCTTTTGTGCTCGTCGCCGGACGCTTTGTCTTCGTCTTCCTCAGACGTGCTGGTGGGGCTCGAGTCGAACTCTTCCGCTACGTCGCTTTCTTCCGCCGCGGGCTTGAAGTCTTCGTCCGTGCTTTCGTCTTCGCTTGGATTGTCGTCGAATTCGTCGCGTTCTTGGGCTTCGGCTTTCACGCGTTCTAAGTAGGCGTCAGGAGCAGCTTCGTTATCTGAGTCGCCAAAGTCGTCATAGGCGCCGGTTTTGTCCTAAAAATGACACAAATTATACAAGAAACAACGAAAATTGTGATGTTGTACATTTTTGTTTCTGTTTTTGATGTTGAGTTTTTTTGTGGTTATGAAGTCAAATAGTTTGTTGTATTCTTCTTTTTCTATGCTGCTGAAGGTGTGCACAGTCCCTGATTTTAGTTCTACTTCGAAATCAAACGATCTTGTGCTGCCGCCCCCACGAGCGAAGTTCACAGAAGCCACTTCTTCAAACCTGATGTGAATTGGGGGCTTGTGGACATACATGAAGCCCCTTTCTAGTGGATACAGATAACCGGCGGCTGCTTTAAACGAGCACCCAATCGCGGGAGTCCCAGAGTGTCTTAAATAAAATCGTTAATTATTTAAAATTAAAAACTATTGTTTGTAAAAATACCCCACGAAATTCCCAGGCCCTGTGAGTTTTCTACTAATAATAACCTTCATAACTTTACCCAGAACTTCATAGGTGGGTCCAGACAACTCCTTCTCCAATTTACCTTCATATTTTTCCTTAAGTTCCTCTCTAAAATAATTTAAAAAAATAATAATAGTCACACTAGAGTAACAACTTACTCAGTGAAGGGTAACTCAATTGACGTTTCTTCCTCCTGTCCAAACAACAAAACCAAAAAGTGGTATCTCGTTTGTCCCTGCTTAATTGGAGGGTCTAAACTAACCACAAAGAACATCTGCCGGTTATCCTTGTGTGGTAACAGAAATAGTCTCAAAACTATCGACATGGGGATCTTGTAATCAAAAGTTTTACCGTGAAGCTGCACAAAAGTTTGAAAAATTTTGATATCATATCGACCACTGCAAATCAAATTGACACTACTAGACTCTGAACACCAAATTAATTACCAACCGTGGCGTGAGACACTGAATTTCCCTAAAGATAGCGATGGCGTCTCCAGACACACTAATAACGCTAGCTTTCTTCATCACTTGCTTCTGGAACGCCTCCACCGGGTCAATATCACCCGCCAATTCGTTCGACGGGATAAAGAACCTCATTTCCATCAAACTAACCGGGGCATCATCGTTCTAAAAAATCACACTCCATACTGAGTTACACAATTACAATACAAACCTGATGGAACTCCATGGCGATTTCATTTTTCCCCGCTGTGCACTGCGACACGTGGTTCAGCGGAATTTCGAACGCGCTGTTGTGCCCCACTTCGAAGCTGAGCACCGACCCGTTGAACTTCGCGGTGCCCCAGTTCCACCCTTTCAAGCTCAATTCTTTTTCCAGCATGTCGATTTTGTAGGCGCTGGTGAAAAACTTGGCGATTCGCTCCTTTTCCGACTCCTTGAAGCCCACAAATCTGTGCAGAGAGCCGTTTTTGAGAAAGACGCGGATGCCTAGACTGCCGGCGAAGTTCTGGAAGTTGACGGCTTCGAAGTCCGAGGAGGAGATGGACTCGACTTTGCCCGTTTTGCTGTTTTTGAAGACGATGTTCTGGTCGGTCATTTTGAGTTTGCCTCCGGTCTGAAAGGGGTTGGGTGTGATGGAATGGAAGTAGTTTGTTTGAAGCTTACCATGCATCCTTTGACTTCGGCTGAGATGTCGGAATATTCTAGGAAATCCATGGCGGGGGCCGTGGTTGCAAAAGCTGGGGGCGAATTCCGAGCTAATGCTGTGTGGATTTGAGTTTTACGTGCAAGTTGTGCAACTACGATCTGTATTTGGCGATTTTGAGGTTATGCCGCCATTGCCGCCTATTTTGACACGCATGGTGGGTCCGAGAAGATTAAAAATAACTAGATTTTTAAAATACTGCGTGTTCAAACAAATCTGTCTCTTCATTTTTGTGTAATTTACTCTTGTATTTGGGCATTTTTGGCTGTTCGAATATTTGCAATTTATGAAAAAAGACATATGTACTGTATATAGTGGTTTCAATACTAACAACAAATAAAATTGTTATATAGGGTGATTGTCACATCTTCGTTTGTAAAAATAACATATAATGGCGACAATATGACGTCACCAACGGTATTTGTAATGGAAATATAGCATGTTTTTTTTTAAGTTTGATATTTATAGTTCGATGAAGTGATGACACGGGGAAGAAAATTTTACTTCAGCCACCAGTTTTGGAAAAAACATTCAATTGTGTTTTTGTAAAATTTTTATTACACAATTAATAGTCACCCGATAATCTCGGTATCATAGTTTTAAATTCGTTCAATGTACTATTGGGTAATCTAGGTTAATTTTGTACTAGGAAGTTGCAATCATTCGTAGTGTGATATTCGGCAGGAATCCCCGTGATTCATATACAGGGTGAGTCAATAACCCAAATTTCGACACGACTTAACGCAATAATGCACAAAGCGGATATACATCAACGCAAAAAGGATTATAAATTATAAGAATTGGGGCTATTTTGATTGAAACAAATTTTTGGGTTGACAATTCTGAATTATTGGCAGCAGTGTTAACATGTCAAGTTACATTTGTCAATTGAGATGACCGCGTTTAAAAAACCAATAAGAAGATAGCACTGAATTTTAATTTTAAATCAGGTATGCCATTATAAAATTTAAAATATGTTGCCAATCTGACAAAAAAATTCAGAAAGATTAATAATCACTCGGTACTTACAATTCGTTTTTATTCATAAGTTGACGCTCTATTTCTTGCATTCCAAACGGATTGTGTAAACCAATCAAACCAGAGAATACCACACAAATGACAAATTTTTAAACGAAAATGACTTAATTATATGTACAATAACGCATCCTGAAGTAGTTCAGGACCTGAGCGCAGAGAAGTACGAAAAATAGATATCCCCATTTTACAAATTGAATTTAAACGAGTTGTCGAATGGTTCTTAACCAGAGAATATCAGACAGTAACACTTCGAGATTTAATCGAAAATGACTCCTAATGACACGCAAAATAATGCACCGAAACATACAAACTCAGTTGCCAACTTGCCGTCAATAGTAACTTTGATGTTCAACTTTTTCCGTATATAAAGGGGTTGTAGAAGAAAAAAAAAAACATTTTAGACATGTTTTAAGTTTCTTGTTGTGGAAATAAGTCTACACATATTAAGAAAACAAGGCAAAAAGTAAGCCCGCCCACCCGCCCTGTCTCAATTCTGATGATTTTTTTTTATTCGTCGTGAGTCAAGAGGGCGGAGCTTAACTGCAAAATCCATATTTCCTTACGAAAATTTACCATTTTAAACGTGATTAAGTTTCTAAGTATACAAAAAATCATAACAATTGGGATGGGGTGGGTGGGCGGGGTTAATATTTCGCCTTTTTTTTCTTAATATACATATTTTTAATTTCTTGTAAAGAAATAAGCATTTTGCAGTTAAGGTCCGCTCCATTGGTTCACGGCGAATAAAAAAATCATCAGAATTGAGACAGGGCGGGTGGGCGGGGCTTATATTTTGCCTTTTTGTTTTAATATGTGCAGACTTCTTTTCACAGCATGAAACTTAAAACATGTTTGAAATGGAAAATTTCTATAAGGAAATATTGATTTTGCAATTAGGTTCCGCCCCATAATTGCAAAATCTATATTTCCTTGCAAAAATGTACCATTTTAACCATGTTTTAAGTTTCTTGTTCTGAAAAGATGGATATATATATATATATATTAAGAAATAAAAAGGCAAAATATAAGTCCCGCCCACCCGCCCTATCTCAATTCTGATAATTTTTTTTATTAGTCGTGAGTCAAGAGGGCGGAGCTTAACTGCAAAATCCATATTTCCTTACAAAAATTTACCATTTTAAACGTGATTAAGTTTCTCAGAATTGAAAAGATCATAACCGTGGAGATGGGGTGGGTGGGCGCGATTTATATTTTGGATTTTTTTCTAAATATACATTGAATTCTTTGAAAAACAGGATACTCAAACACATATTTTTCATTTCTTGTAAAGAAATAATTATTTTGCAGTTAAACTCCGCCCTCTTGATTCATGGCGAATAAAAAAAATTATCACAATTGAGACAGGGCGGGTGGGCGGGCTTACATTTTGCTTTGTAGTTCTAAAATGTGTAGACTTCTATTCATAACATGAAACTTAAACCATGTTTAAAATGGAAAATTTGTATAAAATTATTGATTTTGCAATTAGGTTCCTTGCAAAAATGTAGCCTACCATTTTAACCAGGTTTTAAGTTTCTTGTTGTGAAAAGATGGCTATGCATATTAAGAAAAAGCAAGGCAAAATATAGGCCCCGCCCACCCGCCCTATCTCAATTCTGATGATTTTTATGAGAAATTACCATGTGAAATATGTTCTTAAGTAATCATGTTATACAAAGAAAACTAAATGTATTAATTAAAAAAGAAAACCAAAAGAGAAGCCCCACCCATCCCTCTCGATCTCACTCGTGATGAATTTTTCATTCGTTGTTAGATCGGGGGGCGGAGCGTAATTGCAAAATCGGTATTTCCGTATACAAATTTTAGCATTTTAAACATGTTTTAAGTTTCTGGAAAAATATAAGCCCCGCCCACCCGCCCAGTCTCAATTGTGATGATTTATTTATTCTTAGAATCTTAGAAACTTAAAACACTTTTAAAATAGTAAATTTTTGTAAGAAAAATGGATTTAGGCAATTAGGCTTCTCCCCTAGGTCTGCCAACGATTTTCAATTTTTCGATTTTACAATTTTAGGATTTTTCAATTTTTCAACTTGTCAATTTTTTTTCATTTTTCCATTTTCCGATGTTTCAATCTGACGATTTCTCAATTTTTAATTCTTCCAATTTTCCATTTCTCAGTTTTCCGAATAAGCGTTTTCATTTTTAGATTTCTCGATTTTTCAATTTTTTCGATTGTTTAATTTTGGTTTCTCACTTTTTCGATTCTTCAATTTTTCCTCCATTTATCAATTTTTCGGTATTTCAGCTTTGGGATTTTTCAAAATGTCGATTCTTCAATTTTTCGATTATTTTGATGTTTCGATTTTCGATCTCACGACTTTTTACTTTTTCGATTTTCAGATTTTCGATTTATTGATGTTTCTATTTCTCAATTTTTCAAATTTTTCACATTTTAGATTTTTCAGCTTGTTGATGTTTCAATTCTTTTGACTCTGAGGTTTTCGATTTTTCGACTTTTAGATTTCTCGAATTTTCCGTTTTTCGATTTCTCAATTTTTCTGTTTCAGTTTTGGCTTTTTTTAATTTTTCCATTCTTCAATTAATAATTATATTAAGAAAAAATTGAAGCCAAAGATTAAGCTCCACCTATACCTGCCCTGACCTAAATAGTAATGAAGTTTTCATTCGTTGACATACCTAGGGGCGGAGCCTAATTGTAAAATCCATATTTTCTTACAAAAAATTACCATTTTAAACGTGAATAAGTTTCTAAGAATAAAAGAAATCATCACAATTGGGAGGGGGTGGGTGGGCGGGGTTTTATATTTTCTTTTGTTTTCGTAATACACATAGGATTCTTTGAACAACACGATACTCAAAAATATGTTTTTAATTTATTGTAAGGAAATAAATATTTTGCAGTTAATCTCCGCCCCTTTGGTTTACGGCGAATAAAAAAAATCATCACAATTGAGACAGGGCGGGTGGGCGGGCTCACTTTTTTCTTTTTTGTTTTAATATGTGTAGATTTCTGCGAAAGATCGACAAGTAGTCAAACCCCACAAGGTTCTCATTAAGGACTTGAACACTTTATTTGTTTACTAATAAAATTTTACAACTTGAAAGTATATAGCTTGAGTAAAACCATAAGTTACAAATTCACTTTAGTGCAGTGGAGAACCCAGAAACTTTGGAATTTAAGCAGATGGGCTTAAGGGGGAACGCTAGACGAGAGACAAGTTTGAATTGGGCGCCATTTGTTGCCTTGAACGCAACCAGCAATTCTTCTTTAAATCTACCTGATGCGCTGGGAAAGACGACTACCGAACGTGGGTCATAAAAGCATCGTAAGCCGATAATGCAGAATAATGATAATTTATGACAGGCGGCCCACAACATACCTTCAGCACAGAATAATCATTTTTTCGTATTCTTTTGACATTTTAATTTTAATATTCGAGATAATTATTATATTATTCAAACACAATTTAGACACTGTAGAGCAAACAAGGCTTATCAAGCCCGTCTATTAGTTTATTCGCCTAAATGTATTATTAATACCGTTTTCAAATTACACCAAAATTGAAAAATCGAAAACTTAATAATTGAAAAATTGAAACATTTTAAATGAAAAAAATCGGTAAACCGAAAAATTGAAAAATCCATAAATCGAGAAATTGAACAATCTAAAAATTAAACAATTTAAAAATCGAAGAATTGAAAAACCAAAAAATCTAAACCGAGAACTTGAAAAATCGAATAATCGAGAAATCAAAACATCAAGGAAAACAAAAAAATTAACGGAAAATCTAGAACTTAAAACTTGAAAAATTAAAATACCTATCGAAAAATTGAAAAACCGAGAAATCGAAACATCAAAAAATGGAAAAATTGAAAAACCGAAACATTGCAAAATCTCAGAACTGAAATACTGAAAAACTGAAAAATGAAAGGAAAATTGAAAAATCGAAAAAGTGAAAAAATTCAAAACTGAAATCTTGAAAAACTGAAAAATGGAAAGAAAATTGAAGAATCGGAAAAGTGAAAAAATCCAAAACTGAAACATTGAAAAATCGAAACAAAAGATCCAAAAGTCGAAAAATCCAGAAGTCGAAAAACTGAGAAATCGAAATCGTGCAAAATCGAATTATCGAAAAGTCAAAATTTGAAAAATTGAAAAATTTAAAATAAAAAAAATCGATGAATCTAAAAATTAAAAACTGAAAAAACGAAACATTAAAAAACCAAAAAGTCTAATATTTAAAAATTTGAAAAACTAAAAAATAAAAATTGTAAAGATTAAAAATTGAAAAAGTAAAAAATCCAGAAATAGAAAAGTACAATATTGAAACATCGACAAAATGAAAATTGGAAGAAAATTTGCAACGAAAAACTAAAAAATCGGAAAATAAAAACATCAAAAAAGTCAAATCTAAAATTTAAAAGCTGAAACATCGGAAACCAAGAAATCAAAAATCCAAAATTTAAAAAATCGATAAAATGAAAAATTGGAAAACTAAAGAACCGCAAAAGTGAAAAATTGAGAAACCGAAAAATTAAAAAATTGAAATGACGAACCATTGAAAAATCGAAACAAAAGGTCTAGAAATCGAAAAATCCAGAAGTCGAAAAACTGAGAAATCGAAAAATCCAGAAGTCGAAAAATGAGAAATCCAAATCGTCCAAAATCGAATAATCGAAAAGTCAAAATTGAAAAATTTAAAAAATAAAGAAAATCGATGAATCTAAAAATTAAAAACTGAAAAAACGAAACATTAAAAAACCAAAAAGTCCAATATTTAAAAATCTGAAAAACTAAAAAATAAAAATTGTAAAGATTAAAAATCGAAAAAGTAAAAAATATATAAAATGGTAAATTTTCGTAAGAAAATATGGATTTTGCAGTTAAATTCCGCCCTCTTGACTAACGACCAATAAAAAAAATCATCACAATTGAGATAGGGTGGGTGGGTGGGGCTTATATTTTGCCGTTGTTCTTAAAATACGTAGTTGTCTTTTCAGAACAAGAAACTTGAAACATGTAAAATGTTAAATTCTTATAGACAAATACGATCTTGCAATTAAGCCCCTCCCCTCGATCTGATTTAAAAATCGAAGAATTGGAAAACCAAAAAATCTAAACCGAGAACTTGAAAAATCAAAACATTGAGGAAAACAAAAAAATTAACGGAAAATCTAGAACTTAAAACTTGAAAAATTAAAATACCTATCGAAAAATTGAAAAACCGAGAAATCGAAACATCAAAAAATGGAAAAATTGAAAAACCGAAACATTGCAAAATCTCAGAACTGAAATACTGAAAAACTGAAAAATGAAAGGAAAATTGAAAAATCGAAAAAGTGAAAAAATTCAAAACTGAAATCTTGAAAAACTGAAAAATGGAAAGAAAATTGAAGAATCGGAAAAGTGAAAAAATCCAAAACTGAAACATTGAAAAATCCAGGAATCAAAAAATTGAAAAATCACAATTGAAGAAAGAATTGAAAAATCGAGAAATAGAGAAATGGGAAAATCAAAAAATCAGTTAATTGAAAAATTGAAAAATCGAAAAATTTAGAAACGTCAAAAATTGAAAACTGAAAAATAAAAAAATTAAAAAATCGTAAAACTGAAATATCGTAAAATTAATAAATTGAAAAACTGAACATTTTTGAAAAAAAATCGTATCAAAAACTAAAAATTCAAAAAATCGAGAAATTGAACAATCAAAAAATCAAAACATTGAAATCCCAGTAAGTTGATAATTAGGAAAATTTAAAAAACAAAAATTTTAAAAATCCAAGAATTGAACAACAAAAAAAATCTAAGTCTGAAAACTCAGAAAATTGAATGATCGAGAACAAACATCTAAAATTTAAAAATTCGACAAATTGAAAAATCATGGAATTGAAAAATCGAAAAGTCAAGATAGTGAGAAATCTAAAAACCTAAAACTTTAAAAACTGAAAAATTAAAATATCGAAAAATTTAAAAACCGAGGAAACAATATCAAAAATCTGAAAAATTGAAGAAACGAAATATTGCAAAATTTCAAAGCTGAAATATTGAAAAACCTAAAAATGGAAGGAAAATTAAAGAATCGAAACAGTAAAAAAATCCCAAACTGAAATATTGAAAAATTGAGAAATGGAAAAATGGGAAAATCAAAAAAATTGGTCTAAAGAGTTTAGACAGTACTTCCCTCGCTATCGGAAACGTGACGACTGCATGCCTATTATGTTTTTTTTTCACATTAGATTTCAAAGCATTCGGTTTTGTAATTCCTGATTAAATCAATAAAATAAATTTGCGCATTCATTAAATTTTTTGAGTCACTCTGCATATCCGAATCCAAAAAATATGAATGGAATGATAAATTACAAGAAGAGACTCATCATATTTTGTAAATTTTAAATAGGATTATACGGCAAACTTTTGAGCTGACGTCATCAATTTTTTGGAGGGGATAAGCAAATATATTTTGACTAAAAATTTATTATGCTCTTTATAACCTTAAAACATTTGCAAGATTTCAAAGCATTGGGTTCTGTAGTTCCTGATTAAATCAATAACATAAATTTACGCATTCATTAATTTTTGGGGTCATCCTGTATATGCAAATCCAAAAAACATTAATGGAATGACAAATCACAAGAAGAGACTCATCATATTTTATACAATTTAGATAGGATTTATTCAGCAAAATTTTGAAGTGACGTCATCAATTTTTTAGAGGGGATAAGTAAATATATTGTGATTAGAAAGGTCCTGGTTTAATAACAAAAAAATATTGTTCGTCTATGAAACAAGCTCGTCTTAGACAAAGTATTCGTAAAAAAATATGTCGTAAATAAATGTACGTATGCTGGTCCCGACTGCGATTATGGTTTAAATATTTTTTAGAAAATCCTGTCATAGATGTAGAAACATTTGTGACAGCCAAAGAGGTTTTTTTGAGAAAATTATCTTTGAATTTAGACCAAATTGAAATAGACACTAGGCAACAGGCACATTTGGGCAAAAGAAAGAGAAATTAGGGTTACGGCTTCAAATTTTGGACATCTTTGCAAACTTAGACCGACTACAGCAATAGCTAAAACTGTGAAGTCTCTGTTGGACAATACATTTAGAGGTAATAGTCATACATACTATGGACAGCAAAGGGAGGAAAAAGCTGTCAAGTGTTTTGAAATAAATAAAAATATAAAAACTGAACGGTGTGGCTTGTTTATTTCAAAACAATTTCCTTACTTGGCTGCTAGTCCAGACAGGGTTCTAGAGAATTTCAGTGCATTAGTCGAAATTAAATGCCCTTCAAAATCGTAAGATTTGTCTCGCGAAGAAGCGGTTAGAAAAAAAATAATCAAATTTTGTACATTGACAGACAAAGAATTGAAACTAAAAAAAAATCATGATTACCACTTTCAAGTCCTGGGACAAATGCTTGTTACAGGTATTTCACAAGTTTATTTTGTTGTATGGACACCCAAAGGAATAAATATAGAAAAAATTTATAAAGACGAAGAAATATATGTAAAAAGATGGCAGATAAACTTGGCAGATTTTACTTTGGCGCATTATTGCCCGAAATAATTGATTCAAGAAGAAAGACGAACCTGCTTTTGTGAGAGATTTTTTTTAAATAAATAAAATTTGTTTCTATTTTTTTATGTACTTTAATAATTTATTAGGAGTACATTTTTCATCACCAAGACTTGCATATTTTTATTATAAATATATTTTGAAAATGATCTCTCGGCAAATGAAAACATATACGAGCACTTTTTTCCAGTAAACAATGAAGGGAGAAGTTACTGGGCGTAGGGCTTTTTTAAAACACCTCCTTTCTGGGATAAGTAGTAGATACATTTAGCTACTTATACGTGCTAAACAAAAGCTGTATTTTATACATTTTTTATTATTATTATAAATATGTTTATTAGTTTTATTAATTGACAAAGCAAAATATATATTAACAATAATATTACAATGAATTTTTAGTAATCATGTGTATTGAATTCAGGATCCTGAGTGGAGTAAAAATATTATAGTTCCCCAGTTTTAATTCGGTTTTATGATAGTACCTCATTGCGTAAAAGTTAATTTCCTTAACAATAGATTACTACGGCCGGTCCTGCGGCTTGTTATAAAACTGAGTTCCTTGCCATAAATTAGAAAAATCAGTCCAGAACTCTAACAATCAGCTTATGGTAGAGCAGGCGATAAGGGTTTTACCTGGAAAGTCGCTTCCGTAAATTTTAGTGGCGCTCCTATCGGCAAAGTACTGAACTAACTGCTCAAATTCTGTCGAATTGATACCCATTTTTTTCAATAATTGTTAGTTTTTGTTAAAAACTCTGCTAACCAATAGATCATTAATTTTCCTCTGATATTCCTGTTAAAATTATTCGACGTATTTTGCATTAATTTGTGATATATTTTGATTTTAATAAACACATTATTATTTAAACAAATTGTACCACTAAAACACATTTAATGACTCTGGGCCCTGTAAAAAGTGATGTTTTATCCATGTGCGAATTTTCAAGCGATTCTATGATGGTTATGACTCAAAAAACTTGAAAAGAAAACATACAATGGTGCTTTTTTACGATATTTCTCAGCCATATTTTTTTAATTGATTGAACTGGTCTCTGCGCTCTAGAATATGAAAAAAGCTGCAGTTTGATGTATGATACATCTATATTAATATAATTTTTTCATACAAAAAAACAAAAAAATATTATACCTCGTCTAGCGAGTCCCCTTAATGCATCAATAAACATTCGTCAATACACAACGCCGTGTCGGAGAAGTAGTTCGGTCGAGCCCCCCTCTCACCACAAAACCGCCATTTTCCGGTCCGCCACTTATAAAATTACCCCCAAACCGGCCTTAATTCCTCTCCGCCTCTGTGCCTCTGGAAAAGCGAAAAACCTAGGTTGATGACTTTTTTCCGCCGTCAATGACAGTTCTGCCGGAGTTGCGCCGTCCGCCGCCCCGCTCCGGCCCTCCGCCAATCCCGTCGCGCGCCCGCCTCACGTGACCGCCGACTTGTTTATTTTGAGCATCAGCATCTCGCGTTCAGGAGAGGCACTTCGCGTTTGATGTGCAGTGGCGGTGGCAAGTGTACGGTAAAATCGACGCGTGTTCGAAAAAACAATCGACCGATCGATCACTCCAGTCCCGGACCGATTGGATTTGTGTGACAATGTAGACGAAAACCGACCGACACCAGCATGTAAGGCGAGTGTGATACGCGAAGTTCGGCGGCCCACACGACCTGAAAATTCTCTTCCGTTTCTTCGTCTTGTATGTAGTTTGTAAAATGCTGGGTGTCCTAAAACGACGTTGGAAACCCAAAAGGTACGTGGGCTATTTTGGTACGGTTTCGGCCTTGCCGACGATTTTATATTGTGTGTTTACGGGTTCAGAAATAGACGCGAGTGTAGGTGCCGTTTTTCAAATAAACTGCTCACGATTTTTATTGGGAAGGGTTTTCGAGACGTCGGGATTGTTTGCAAATATTGATCGGAGCTGGCCGGGATCCCCTCCGCGATGCTCAGCTGTTCCACTGTTGATATGTTATCGATCCGGGGATTCTAACCTCAAAATGTGCTCCAATTCGCCGTTCCGGCTGGAACCATTCGCAATATCGATCGCCGATAATCCGCAAATAGGCCAAAATGTGGAACACTCAATTTTCTACGTTTTTGTAACGACAACAGTTTATAGTGTTAAATATGCATTACCCTTAGAACTAGGTTTAACCCTAATTAGATTAAAAAACGATCAAAGACATCCTTGGATTTTTGACGGATTGTCGATGATAGAATTTTCGCCTGTCAATTGAAAGTTCAAACGATCAAAGACAAATTTACAAATAAATTTATGTATATTTCGTCAAACTTTAGAATCTAGCCATAAACACAGTTTCCAAACACTCTCTTAACATACAGCAGCATTAAAACCGTTTTAATATCAACTCTAAATCTATTCTTAAAATTATTATTCGCTAAAACCAGATGCCGTGAATTTGAGTGTCGATAAAATCGTCCAAATGCTCGTTTCAGTGGAATTTTGTGTTTTTCTACAAAATAAATAACTCAATTATAATTAATGCTTTCAAAATTCGTTACGTAGTCGAAATTTATGCACAAGATTCCCGAATGGTTAATTAATGGTCAATACAGAACCGCGCATGGGGAAGTGAATCAAAGTAATCTGTGTCGTGTCGCAACTGCGCCGATGAAAGTCCGAAAACAAAGGCCCGACTGCGCCGCAATCGCTTGTGGATTTGATAATTCTTGGAGTTAACTGCGCCTCTTCCTGTCTTAATCGTGCTGGTGATATACAGTAGCTAGCATAACATATTAATAGATTTACAAAAAACCTGTAGCGAGTCACTTTTTTCGAAAACTTTAATCGTTCTTAGACGCATATTTCACGCCTTCAATACACTTTACGACCCAAGAAAACTACAAATCGTGTTGTTCGCACAGAGAAAGCAGCCTTTATTGGTTAATATTCAGGAAATCGTTATTTCAAGGTGGTAAATACTTTATTACTCATAGTATAATGGTATCGATTTTCAAACAACCTTTACCTTACTGCATACCACATGACAAGTTGAGAGAAATGTTCGGGTGTGTGGATTTTTCAAAATTCCAACAACGCTATAAACTAGACTTTTCTCAATTGTGACGTTGATTGGAATTCATTTTTCGTGATACTAATCCGCAGGTGTTGATATTGACGTATCTGTACAACATGATTGAAAGTAAATATATGTAACTGTTAAAATTGACTTTCACGACAAAGACCATTTATTGAACCATCGCATAAATCAGTCCAGGGACAGGAAGCCATATTTCAGTCATCATCCACGCTGGACGTTGATACGTTTATTTTATGGATCGCATCATTATTGTGGCTACTGATCCAACTAACTAATCGTACTCGAGTCACAATCCTCCGTAACCATCACTCAGACAATACTATGATTGTGTTGAACTCAAAAGAACGTAAACGTTCCGTAGGCTGTACTTATGGACACACATCGAAAGTTATGCAACTACAATAAGAAAATGTGGATAAACTGAATAAAGCTACCCACGCACGGTTTCGCTTGAAAGTAAACATAAATTGTGATATTCCTGCAGCAAAGTACAAGCAGCGATTTGTGTCTATAAAAATGTTTTTATCACACGATCAATATTGAATGCTAGAGGTCGAATTGGAAAGTCTAATCAATCATTATCAGGCCAGATTACAATGGAAAAGTTGCCTGTGTCTTTACGGTGGTAGAAAAAATTGTGCGTGAAGTAGCGAGGTGTGGGAAATATCGCGGTTGCTATTGTTATTTTTTATTGTAATAAGAAGTTCATTGGAACTCGGTTAATTTGATGCTTGGTGAGTGACGAGAGAAACCAGGAAAGCTGTTAATTAATTTGTCTAATAAATAAATGTATGGGTTTCCAATGGGATTTTTGCTTTTACGGTGGGTAATAAATGGTGCTTTATTGCTCAGATCAAGCACGAGAACAATGAACGATAAATTAGTTAAATAATTATCAGCACTGTAAAACTTTTGTGATTTTAAAAAAATGTAAAGTCGTAAATAATCGCGATTAAATTTTACTTAGTAACTTTAATCTTTCCAATAATGATGACTAAGAAAAAGTACAACGTCAATTTTGCATGGTAAATGGTGTTTAAATATTATTAAATAACGTACTTCTGTATTTGTGGTTTATGAATCCGCCGATAGTTAGACAGTTAATACTTTTCTTTCAACAATATCATACTTAAAAACATCATCTGGTAGTTTCTTGTTGACAGATAAACATTTTGCAATTAAGCTCCGCCTCTCGGCTCACGACGAATAAGAAAATTCATCACAATTGAGTAGAGGGCGGGTGGGCGGGGTTTGTATTTTGTATAAATTTGTAGAGAAGTGTGGGAGATAAAATTTACCATTTTAAACATGTTTTCAGTCTTTTGTTGTAAAGAATATGTATATTGAGAAGAATAAAAAAGTCAAATCAAAAGCCCCGCCCACCCACCCTGTCTCTGTTGTGACGATTTTTCTTTATTCGTCATGAGCGAGGAGGCGGAGCTTAATTGCAAAATCCCTATTTTTCAACGAGAAATTACCAAAATGATCGCAATAATATATTGTCGCTTCATCTATGAACGTCATCTTGTCAGAACAGGTTCTGGAGGCAGCGGACACTCCGGTGAAGCTTTAAGAAATACTTTCTTTAGGTTGGAACTTAAATCGTTGACATCTTTATATTGATTCCGAATAAGTTCAGCTATTATGGGGTTTATTTTTCACTTTTTTTTCTTAAGTTGTATACTTTTCTTTCAACAACATGTTTCACTGATAGTTTCTTGTAGAGAAATAAGCATTTTGCAATTAAGCTCCGCCCCTCGGCTCACGACGAATAAGAAAATTCATCACAATTGAGATAAGGGCGGGTGGGCGGGGTTTGTATTTTGCCTATTTTTTTTCTTATTTGTACAGTTTTCTATTCACGGCAACAAACTGAAATTTGCTTAAAATGATAAATTTGTAGAAAAGTGTGGGAGACAAATTTTACCATTTTAAATATGTTTTCAGTCTTTTGTTGTGAAGATTATGTTTATTAAGAAGAAAAAAAAGTCAAATTATAAGCCCCGCCCACCCACCCTGTCTTAATTGTGACGATTTTTCTTTATTCGCCGTGAGCAAGAAGGCGGGGCTTATTTTTAACTTTTTTTTGTTAACAGATATACTTTTCTTTCAACAACATCATACTTAAAAACATGTTTCAGATGGTAGTTTCTTGTAGAAAATTAAACATTTTGCAATTAAACTCCGCCCCTCGGCTCACGACGAATAAGAAAATTCATCACAATTGAGATGAGGGCGGGTGGGCGGGGTTTGTATTTTGCCTATTTTTCTTATATGTACGTAGTTTTCTGTTCACGACAAGAAACTGAAAACTTGTTTAAAATGATAAATTTGTAGAAAAGTGTGGGAGACAAAATTTGCCATATGAAACATGTTTTCAGAATTTTGTTGTGAAGATTATTTATGCCCCGCCCACCCACCCTGTCTCAGTTGTGACGATTTTTTTTATTCTTTATGAGCTAGGAGGCGGAGCTTAATTGCAAAATCCTTATTTTTATATGAGAAATTACCAAAATGATCGCAATATTATATTATCGCTTCAATCTATGAACTCCAGGTTGTCACAACAGGTTCTGGAGGTAATGGATAATCCGGTAAGGCTTCCCGGAAGGCTTGGATCCTCAAATGATCTTTAAGAAATATTTTCTGTAGTTTGGAAACTAAATTCTTGATATCTTCATATTGATTCCGGGTAACTCCACCTATTAACTTTGCCCCTTGGTCGGACAACCAATGAACAATTCGTCACAATTGAAGTTGGGGCGGGTGGGTGGGGCTTATTTTTAACTTTTCTTTTCTTAACATGTATACTTTTCTTTCAACATGTTTCACATGGTACATACTTACTTGTAGAAAAATAAACAATTTGCAATTAAGCTCCACCCCTCGGCCCACGAAGAATAAAAAAAAAACCATCAGAATTGAAATAGGGCGGGTGGGTGGGGCCTATATTTTACCTTTCTTTTTTCTTAATGTACATAGCCATCTTTTCACAATAAGAAATTTAAAATATGTTTAAAATGGTACATTTTTACAAGAAAATATGGATTTTGTAAATATGGGGCGGAGCCTAATTGCAAAATTGATATTTCCTTGTACAAATTTTCCATTAACATGTTTTAAGTTTTTTGTTCTGGAAAGAATTCTAGACATATTAAAACAAAAAGGTAAAATGTAAGCCCGCCCACCCGCCCTATCTAAATTGTGACGATTTTTTTATGCGCCGTGGACCAAGGGGGCGGAGCTTAACTGCAAAATTCTCTATTTCTGTACAAGAACTTAAAAACATGTTCTTGAGTCTCGTGTTGAAAGAATACTATGTATATTAAGAAAAAAAAGCAAAATATTAACCCCGCCCACCCACCCCGTCTCAATCCAAAAAATCGAAAAATTGAAAAATCGGACAATTGAAGATTCGAAAATTTGAAAATTCGAAAAATTAAAGAATCGGAAAATTGAAGAATCGGGAAATCGAAAAAGTAAAAACCGAAAAATTGTTTTTAATTTTTTTTTTCAAAAATCTTGAGTCGAAAAACCGAAAAACTGAAACATCGCAATACTGAAAAGTCCCAGAATTGAAAAACATCCAAAACTCAAAAAATCGAAAATATGAGAGATCTAGAAATCGGAAAGTCGGAAAATCGAGAAATCGAAGTCGAAAAACCAAAAAACTGAGAAATTGAAAAAC